GTCCCCCTTGACCAATATTCATTTTTTTGTGAAGGGAAATTTGTTTCGGGGGAAGCAGCTCCAAGAAAACATGGCCTTGGTGATGTTTTGGGTTTTGCATACGGGGGTGTGTGCCCTCAGCCCCTCCGGTTTAACCAAAACCTCCGTTATCATCAGTTGCCCCCCTTGATATCCTTGCTCCAGGTTTTCCTTGCCCCGGTGTTTAAAAATGTTCCGGCCTCCCGGGGATTTTTTTAAATGGTCAAACCCAGGTAAGGCCTGGGAAACCCGAATCCCCCCCCCCTTTCCTTCCTTTTGGGGGGGGGGGGTCAATGGTTTAACCGTTAAGGCAGGGAGAACAGGGGCCCCCCCCCCCCCCCCGTCGTCTGTTGTTCTCTCTTGTCGTTTTTTTCCCAGAACAACCACGGCACCAAGCTCTTCGCGATCTCTGGCCACGTGAACAACCCCATCGTGGTGGAGGAGGAGATGTCGATCACCCTTAGAGAACTGCTCGACAAGCACTGCGGCGGCGTCAGAGGGGGCTGGGACAACCTCCAGGTATTTGGGGAAACGCCCTTGCCTGCTGCGGCTGTCCTTACAGTGTTTCTTGTGGTACTTTGTGGGAACTTGTAGTGTTTTTTTTTTCCCCGTTGGGACGGGTATTTAGAAGATTTTGATTCCATCAAAGAAAGACTACCCGTTCGAGATATAACCACTTTTTTTGTTTCTTGTCGCTCGATTGGACAACGAGGTTTGGGCCTCCGTTACCATGTGGTCCTGGCAATTGGATGTGACTGCTGTACACGGTAGGCTTGGGTTTTCGTTGCCGTTGTCACAGCTGCCTTGGGGAATGACTCTTTGTTCCGTTTTCGAGCTTTTGCCGTCTTGGAGTGTTCGGTTCCTGCCCAGCCTTTCGCGGCAAAGCTATGCTCTCCAAACGCTTAGCCGCCACTGCAGCGGCCGCCTTTCCGACCCCTAGGGGAGTTTGTGTTGCAGTTGGCGTTGTCGGTGCTTGTCTGTTGGGCGAGCGACAAGCACGCCAGTCTCATCGCGACATAAATGCCAAAATGAAAACGGTGCCCAACTCCGTGGTCTGTGTGCCATGCTGTTCTTCTGCACCCACCCCACTGCGGCTCCCCAGACATCATTACCACCGGCGAAGCTGTCCGATCTAAGACGCTTAAGTTGTTCTATATCGTTTGTTTTCTTTTGTCTTGTACTTCGAAGTATTAACTTGAATTGGAGGGTCTAACCCGAGATTGTCTTTTCGTGGGCAGCGAAAAACATCAACAGTTGTTGGCTTCACTGAAAAGTGTAGTGCACGTCTCACCACGAAAAATGGGGGGGGACTGTCGCCATATTGAACAGGACGAAAACAACTAACTTTTTCACAGCATCGTACCGGAATAACAGCGGTACTGTAGCGGTATGTTTTCAAACGCTTTTATTCTCCCTCTTGACCAAATTGAACCAGGCTGTCATCCCCGGAGGCTCCTCGGTCCCCGTCCTCGACATCAACGACTGCGCGGATGTGATGATGGACTTCGACGACCTCAAGAAAGCCGGATCGGGTCTGGGCACGGCCGCCGTGACCGTGATGGACAAGAGCGTCGACATGATCGCCGCCATCCGCCGCCTTGCACACTTCTACAAGCACGAGTCTTGCGGCCAGTGCACCCCCTGCAGGTGTGTTTTTATTACTGTTAGCATCGACCGCGGTATCCGGCTGACCAATGAAAAGACGTCAGTCTTAATGCGGTTGAAAACACAAAACACTTCTATCTGCCATGAACTGGGACCCCGTTAGGGGGCAGCATGTGTGTGTGTGTGTATGTGTGTGTGTTTGTGTGTTTGTGTGTGTGTGTTTGTGTGTGTGTGTTTGTGTGTGTGTTTGTGTGTGTGTTTATGTGTGTGTTTGTGTGTGATTGTGTGATTGTGTGTGTGTGTTTGTGTGTGTGTTTGTGTGTGTGTGTTTATTTTTTGTATCGACCGCGTCAACAGGCCGACCAATGAAACTACGTCAGTCTCACTTTGCTGTTGAAAACACAACAAGCTTCTAAAGGCCATGATCTTTGTGTGTGTGTGTCTTCGTAAATTAGCATCGACCGCGCTAACTGACTGACCAATGAAAATGAAACGTCAGTGCCAGCGGTGTGTGTTTCTTTAATTATTGGCATCGCTATCCGGTGAAACGGCGTCAGTCTGCGTGCGGTTGAAAACAGAAAACGCTTCTACAGGCCATGGTCGGGGGCCCCGTGTACGTGTTCGCCCCATCTAATCGGGTGCCAGTCTACACACCTTTCGGAGTATACGTTGGGCGCAAAGCATGAGCCGGCGTCACAAAGGAGGGTCACACAGAATATGTGTATCTTTTGTTTTTTTTGTTTTGGTTTTTATGCACCCCCTAAAATGCCCGTTCCTCTCATTCCATGCCTTGTGTCCGAAAGGCCAAGAAACGAGAAACCACGCTTGAGTGATGATACAGTATCTGGTCGCCATCTTTGCACCCAGAACGATTCCAACCTCTGCCTAGCACGTACCCGTACTATTTCCTTAGAATCTGCAACTATTTGCCGCGGTCAGAGGCCAAATCCTACGGTTCCCTATGACCGGGTGCACCTCGTCTGGTCTTGCGATGCGAAGGATTGGGCAGTTGGCTTTTTTGTTTTTTTTGTCATGTAGGGTTGTTTTTGCATGCAGTAGAGGTCCTTCTTTAGTGCCGGTTACCGGTATGGTGCCGGTGTTTTCGGGGGGCACACACTGCCTGTGACCACGGGAATCGACCCCGTCAAGTGTTGAACTAGTTCGGACAGAAGAAGGTACTGGGCGGAGAGAACGGAACGGTTTTTAATGTGAAGACAACAACAACACAACAACACACTATTTTCAAGTTATTTTGTACTTTGAATAGTGCCGGTGTCCGGCATGCGGTCAATTTGCTGGGCACATACCGGCACTAAACAGTGACCTCTACTGTGTCAGGTTTATCGCTTACTAAGTGTTCATTTACCTCATGGGGTCGGGTAGAGCTTGATCGCTTTTCCGCGTCGGCCGTTTCGTGAGGCAGGGAGGGCACCGGGTGGTTGGAGCAGATGCTCGTCAAGATGGAGAAGGGCGAGGCAGACACGCGCGAGATCCCCATGCTGGAAGAGATCTCCAGGTCGATCGAGGGGCACACCATCTGCGCCCTCGGCGACGCCGCGGCCTGGCCCGTTCAGGTACGCTTGGTCATGCGTTATTTGATAGCGCCGCCACTTGAGAAGCACGGAGTTGACAAGTTCACGGCAATCGAAGCTTAAGAACTGGTAGGACATAAGAACAGGTGCTCAGGCGCGCAGTTGTAAGTACCTTTTTCCGAAGCCTATTTAGGAGAATATAGTAGTAGCTGTTGGACTAGCCCGCAGAGGACGTCAAAAAGTAGCGTCGGGGCGAAAAACGTGGTTCGTTAGTTGTGGCGGGTTCTGTAAACGGGTTCCGTTTACGCCTTCGGCGTTCCGCGCAACGTTCCACAGAGCAGTTAAAAGTTCGAACCGCACACCGACGTGTACCGCCGACGTATAGAACGAAGTGGTGGTGCGGAGAAGTTCAGCTGGGGCGGCGTCTTTTTTTCTTTGCGTCCCGCTCGCTCTGATTTGTGTGTTCTTCCAGACAGAGGCCTGGTGTTGCGACCAGACTCAAAAATTCCCAGTTTTCTTCTTGGTACCAACCCTTTTTTTCCGGTTCGACAACGGAACGGAATACCATATGGCTGTGTGGGTGTTTCGGTAATTGTATCTAGCGACTTCGGCGGAACGGTAGTCCAAATCACGGTGGCAACATGAAACCCCTAGCGCTTCTCGGGAACGGATGTACAGAAGATGGTAACGTGAAAACCGGCGGCAATCGTGTGGCGGTACATGTGATACACATGCAATTGGCGCAAAGCTACAAGTGCTTTTGGCGGAAAGCAAACGGAAGCGAAACGGTGTAGAGGGAGAGAACGTTAGCTCAAGCTCAATATACCTGTTTTCGACCGTAAACCTCGCACGCCGCTAAAGTGACACCGCCTTGCTGTGGTGACAAATCTTGCACTGCTGGCTCGGTTTTCGCAGGGCCTGATCAGGCGTTTCCAGCCGGTAATCGAGGAGCGTATCGCCGGCGGGCCGGAGCAGTACCAGTCCGAGAAGGGCAAGTACTTCCAGGAGGCTTGGAGCGGGGAGCCTTTCAAGAACAAGGTGCGCCTGATGCCGGTGCCATTGTGCCCTCATTGCTGACCATCCGGCCTAGATAGAGGTGTTGAACGGCTTATTCCAACCCTTCATGTATTTGTTGCAGTGTGTAGATACCAGGAGTGGTCTTTGCGCTGTGTTTTTGCTTCTGCTGAAGCGCTGCTTTGTTCGCGCACGCGCGAGTATCGGGTGCGACAATTTCCGCGGAGTTGGAGAAGCCCCAAGTTTTTCGGGGCTGTACGTAAATGCCAATACACTCTGTTGAAGCTCAGGATCTCGGGAAGTCATGCCGCTCCACATTTAGCCCACTTTCGCCTATTTTTCTCTCCTCGGGCGAGCTTGTCCGTTTCCTAACCCAACGGCACCGCGTCTACCGCTCTCTGACTTCAGGCATGGGTCGACCAGCACGGCGACGGCAAGGCGTACAGCCGATCATAACTCGACCGAACGGCCCGATTTGCCTCAGGCACGATCACAAGCAGAAACACAGACAATCCCTCCTCGGGCGAGAAGCGGGGAGCGGGAAAGCACAAGCACGTGCTGTGGTTGAGAAATCTTGAACGTCTCGTCCAGTACGGCTCGCTTAGAGAGCTTGATCGGAAGGGAGCGGGTGTTCGGCGAAGGCTGGTGCCAGCTTGATCGGTTGGTTCTGTGTTCGCTCCCACTCGTGGCTACAGCTTTAGCGTAGAGCCTCGTGTTAATTTTATCGAAGATTGTTGTGCGAGCCATGCGTCGCTCAAAGTCCACGGCAGCCCTGCTCGAAGGGACGCTGTCTCATGTCTAGTAAGATCGAGGGACTTGTGTGCCGTGTGTATGAAAGCGCGTCGCCACGAAGAGGAGCTGCAGCCTTGGTGTATGATGACGCCGGCCCGCGGGGCATCTGGCCCTGTGCACGGTAGCCCGCATTAATTTTGCCAGGCGGTTTTGGCTCTCTTTGTCGCTTTAGTGAAGCCTTACTTGTCGTCTTGGTTCTGCTGGGTGCAACGCCTTGCGGAGAAGCCATAGCTTTCGGTTTTGACACAAGTGTCTTTAGAGCCCATTAATGGCGGACTACCATTTTTTTTTTTGGCGGTTATCGTTCGTTGTGTTAACATTTGCTTCAGTGACACCATTCTCCGTGTCTTAGTAAAATGGATCGCACTAGGCCGTCGTGGTTCGAGGGCTCTCTCACTTGAGCTGCATGTCCAAATCTACGCTCTGAGTCATGAGTTTGTTTATCCAACAGCTGAACGCAAGGATCATGTAGTTCCACCTTTCAGAGACAAATGCATCCAAATACCACGGTATAGGCGAACAAGTTCAATCGTGTTAAAGAGGATTTCCCGACACCCTTCGCTACCTTGAAGACCGCAAATGCACACGCGCCACGAGAACCCAGTCGTGAAACCAGAAGTTTGGCACCGTGCGGCGCTCCGAGTGAGACGTTTGTGTAGAATGCAGGCTCGGAAGAGCACTCGCACTAACTGGTTTGCCACAACGACGGAAATTCATTCAAACAAATTGTACACTTTGACTCTGTGGCAAACAGTTGAATTATCCATGGTTTTCGTGAGACCTTTACAAACGATTTATCTTGGTCTTACGTGGGGCAAGCTTTTCTTCGCATTCTCTTGGCTGATCTCGCCTTCTTGGATCTGCACAATTCTTCTAGACAATCCCTCAGCCTCCTCCAGCCGCCCTGCCTCCCGAACACACGTCTCTAGACACCGCAAGGTGTTGGCAACCCCAATATTCTCTGGGCCCAGCCTGTCTTCCACGATGCCCAGGCAGCGCCTCAGGACCTGCTCCTCCTCACCAAGTCGCCCTGCCCTTCGAAAGCATGAGCTCAGCTCATACAGTGTGCTGGCTACTTCCACATGCTGCGGACCAAGCTTGGTTTCCCGAACCTGTAGACAGCGTTTCAGCAACCTTTCCGCCTCTTCGACTCGTCCCGCGGCGAGAATGCACACGCCCAGATCGTACAGCGTGCTGGCCACCTGCACGTCCTCTAGCCCCAACTGAGCCTCCTTAATGTCGAGACAGCGCCTCAACAATTTCTCCGTCTCCTCGAAATCCCCTCGCTCTCGAGCGCATTGTACGAGCGCACACAGCGTGTTCGCGACCTGGGCACTTTCTCCGCCGAATTCGGCCTCCACGATACCCAGACAACGGCCTAACACTTGCTCCGCTTCGCCCAGCCGCCTTGCTTTTCGAAGGCATCCCCCCAGCTCATACAGTGTTAGGGCTACCTCGACGTCCTTTCGGCCGAGCCTGGTTTCTTTGATCTCAAGACAACGCCTGAGGGACTCCTCTGCCTCGTCTGGCCTTCCCGCCTCGCGGACGCATATACCCAAATCATGCAGTGTGCCGGCCACTTTCAGGTCGTCTGGGCCTAGCTTTGCCTCCCTGACCTCTAGGCATCGCCTAAGCAATATCTCCGCCTCGTCTAACCGCCCCGCCTCTCGAATGCATACACCCAGGTCATGCTGTGCGACGGCCACCTGCACATCATCTTGGCCGCCTAGCTCGGCCATCTTGATCTCTAAAGATCGTCTCAGTAGCTTTTCTGCTTCACCCCGTTCGCCGGGATGGAGCGTCATCACGGTGGCAGCAAGAGACGCTAGGCTACCCGCATCATCAAGCCCTGCTGCCTCGCTGCCAACGTTTTTAGACTGTACTCTGGCCATGGCCAACGGGAGAGCTTGGCGTTCCTTCCTGTGCCACTCCTTGGCCTCTTCGACGTTGCCCTGGTGCTCTGCGCACTTTGCCAGGCAGCGGTAGGTGTTCAAGACGTACGGATGGTCAGCTCCCAACTGCACCTCTTCGACCGCGAGTAGTCGACGCCAAGTCCGGTTGGCCCCCGTCCAGTCTTCCTGTGCTTCTTGAAACCATGCCACTGCCTCGATACTCTGTCGGAAAAGCGGGGAGTTTGACTCGTCTAACGCTTCTAGCGCCTTCTCATACGGGCGGGTTGTTGCCCATCCGTCTCCGCCCACGCGTTGAACCCCCGCCCATAAACTCTTGAGCACGTATCGGTTAATCGACCGAAGAGCTTCAAGAGAGGAGATGGACCTGACCAACCTCTTTATGGCAGGTCGGCGCACGTCCCCGCGGTCCATAAGACTCTCCCTCGCAAAGTTGGAGTGGGCGTCATGCATGCGGTACGTTGCTTCTACCGAACGAATGGTAGTCCAGCGTTCCAGGGTCTCCACGACGGCTCCCACTGATGCTTTGTCTTCGGTGCCTGGCTCTCGGTCGTACAGCAACACTGCCGCATCTTTAACGGTGAAGGCATGGCCATCCGGCAACACGGCGAGAGACAGGTACAAACGTTGCACCCGCTCGTCATCCGACCCAATGGCTAGATCTTCGAAACCGGCCTGAAGGATGGCCCTCCTTCGGTTCACACGAGAGTCCTCACTGCCGTTGCTCTCAGCATTCACCCGCTCCTTGTTCATCTCTGCACGGACCTTACAAGCCGCATCCGACCAAGCCGTCCGGTCTTGCCTGCCGCGAACTGTACTCCAGCGCCCTACGAACGCGAGGTCCATCGCCACGCGCCCGCACAGCTCTATCAGGTCCATCGCATCGTCGGGCAAGCGTGCCTCAGGGGATAGCTCCGCTGCTCTTCTTAGCACCGACTCCGCTTCTGCCTCGGACAGTTCATCGACTCCGACTACCTCGCCCTTCGCACGTTTCACCAGCTCTTCATCGCGGGTTGACAGGAGAACCCACATTCCGGTTTCCAGCAGCTGCGAGACCACGTCCGATTCCCACACGTTGTCGGCCACCACGAGGCACTTCAGTCCTTTGCTCCCGTGTCCATTCTCTACCTGCTGCTTGACGTAGTCCAAGCCGTCGTCAGATCCGCTGGGACGACGCCCCACGCTGCCTCCGATGTCTTCGAACACCATTTGAGCTAACTGAAGCATCAAACAGGGGAGATTATCCAGAGCACCCTCGTTCACCGGCAGCCACACGATACCGTCGGAGAAAGCCTCCCGCACCTCAGTACTGCTGACAATTGCGGACGCGGCGGTGGTCTTGCCGGCCCCGCTGTCGCCCACTAGGCCAACCAGATGGGGCCCTCCATCGGCATTGAGCGCCTGGAACACCGTTTCCGTCACGTTACGACGCTCCACGTGCCAACTTTTGTGTGTAGGGGTGCCCTTGGGAACATTCGCTACCTTGGCTGGCGGTTTCGGCAGCTGGCGAAGAATTGTTTCCGTATTAGCTAACAGCTCCTCATGATTCCCTTCTTGTTTCTTGCCCATACGTTCCTGGAAAGCAACCGCAGTAGGAGAGCATGGTTTGGGATCGGCCATCAAATACTTCGCAAGATACTATGTGAGCAATTTCTCTTCCGCAGCCGCTATCTATATGATTTTCACAGGTGTGCAAAAGCAACACCAAAGAACCTGCGTTCGTTGATTTAAGCCCGCTCTCAAACAAAAAAAAACACTTGGAAGGGAAGGCAGACTGGGTTGTAGGGGGTGGAATGTTGGCACCGCAGTGAGGGGAGGTCGGTCTTCGGCTCACAAGCTGCAGTGGTTGGCTGCCATTCTCTACAAAGCATTGAGAAACCACATAGCTGCTAATACGCGCTCAACATCCACACACCAAGCTTGCGATGCCCGCCAGACTCAAGTCGCCTTCGAGATCTCTGAGTCGTTCCTTCAGCCGGACCATGTCGCCCTTGTCGCCGATCGCCTTCAAGACCCTCGATATCTTGCCTCGCTTCCTATACCGCTCCACGATTTTCTCCACTACGTTGACGCAGTCCTCGAGAGGCGCTACATCCAAATCTGAGGAGCAGTGGCGGCACTTAACGATGAAGCATGCCGTGATGTACGTGCACCTTTGGTGAAGCACTGTCAAATCCTCTGGATTGCTCTTCACAGTCTCCACCTTCTCTCGAACGATTCGGAGGGTCCGAAACACGGGCTGCAATAGCGGAAGCTCTTCGCCCAAGTCCGCCACGAACAGGATAGCGTCCGCCGCGGCTGAGCCTATCTTCGAGGCGATCTTGGCAGCCTCGCCAGTGGCATCCGCAAGATCGGCAGCCATGCCACCGTAGTTGTGTGACCTCGAACTCGCGGTACAGGATACTGAAGTGCAGCAGTGAGCCCGTATAGGCACAACTATGGGGTGTGGTGTGTTAAGGTTGGTGCGGCGCCCATGTACCTGAGGGAATGCAAAAGCGGGCAAGAGGCCGTAGGTTAACCTTCGAGCGCTTGGAACTTGGGACCCGCCATAAGGTACAACGATTTGGTCTGCCTCTCTAAACTATAGTAACATACGGCAGCCAAGTACCAACCTCTTGATGGAACGTACCAAGTACCCACAATCCAACGCATTTCCTATGTAGCATCCGACACAGATATTAACCCTTACGTGACTGGGTAATTTGATTTTTTTGTTTTTTCCCCCCACAACTGGCTCTCTGTGGTCAAAGATCTTCCACGCATGCGTGTGCATCCAGAAATGACGGCGGCAAGGATGGTGCAGTAGTGAGTCCATGTGTGGGGCTCACAGGGATGGGGACGCGCTATATGTAAGGGTGACAAACAGGAGTACAGTAGTACTACTGCTGTATAGCAGTAGCAGTTACGCGGAGAGAAACATAGACTACAGCAGCAGAGTAGTTTCTGGGAAGGTGTGCATGTCTGTCAACCATCCGCACAGAGGATGTACCTGTGCAAGCAATACCTATTGGCACATCTTCTCCACCTGTTCGTGTACTCCCGTGACCACCCAAGGAGGTTACCGTGCCCACCCACGGAGGATACCGTGCCCACAAACGGTATGATGTCTGTCTGGGGACTATGTTAACCCAGAGGACCGATGCAGATGATATATAACCTTGATTAACACACACGTGCTCTTCCAGCGCGGACCGAAGTCAGTACAGGTCCTGTTTCAGTGAACACATGCGGGGCTCTCACGAGGGGCCCCGCACTTGGACCCCCAACAGTATACCCCCCACACATATTCTCTGCAGATCGGATCTTGTATCCAAGTACCCCAAACAGCCCCCCTGCTTGAAACAATATACGATCTGGAAGTCCATTGTGGATAATCTTCCAACCAATACAAAAAACACAAAAAACCACTCGAGAAACATCCTCTACAAAACTGGCTACGAATTTAACACAAAGCGTCTCCATCAGTTTATCCACGAACCCAATGTATTCTCAAACCGTCAAAACAAAAGAATCATCCTCAGAAGAGTACCAACAAATATCTGCGCTACATCAGAAAATCGTCGGTGACAGACAAATCCGGAAAAACAGCTTTAGAAGAATTGACACAACATCCTCAAACAACACAAAGTTTCAACTTCTCGACCAATTAAAACAAGCATTCGGAAAGCACAAGGGCCCCAACCATTACTCGTCAAAACATGTCAAACCCTCCTCCAATATAGCGTCCAAGGACCAAATCGTAAACAGCGCGCACATGCTATCGGTGCCTCAGCTGTTGTCCAAGAGATGATAGAAACATAAGCAAATATCCATGCAAACAGCCCCCCTGCTGCAACATCTCCGAAACATGCAAATTCTGTGCCACCCTTCTCTCACTGGTGTTGGCACAAGACAGCAGTATCAGTACCAATATCAATAGTTCCCCAGCTGGAATATTTCCCCGAGACATACATATAGATCCGCCTGCGCTTTCTTCCCCTCCTTTCCAACCAAGAGAATATCTCAAAACATCAAAGTGTACGAACCAGCCCCCCAGCTGAAACATGCCCTGCATACACAAGAACACATGTATGCATTCGCTGCTGTTGCGTCTGGAATCATGACAACACATTTCCTCCCCCTGATTCTTGGCGCAAAACACAGCAGAACGAAGAAAACGTAATGAACATCATGAAACAAATCCAATTTGAACAGAACTCCACGAAAGCACTCTGCTCTGCTGGTGCTGCGGCTAGAAACATGATACACAACCCCCCCCCCCATGGTTTTTGACAGCAGTACAAACAGCAGAGTTCGACAGTTGTCATTGAATTTCGCATAGTACACCAATTCGGGTCCGAAACACAACAAGTCAAAGCCCAGACAAAAAAAATTACGCAACCACAAACAGGAATGCCGTTTACGTCAACACATTGTCTCTCGGAGGCGATTCCTGGATGAATTCCTCGACTTCGGCGCAACGGGAAGAATGCACCCGACATGGAACAACAAAAATAAAAAACCATGAAGAACAAAACAACGTGAAGTTAACATCCCAATGCCTCCACATAAAACCCAAACAAACTCGTTAACATTTCACATCGTCTCCAATTTGACGCACATATGGTGAGGTCGTCGTTGCCACCATGTCCTCGCCCTGCTCGGTCGACTCGAGGGTGTCCGCCGGAGGCAAATATCCGTCTTCCAGTTCGCTTCTGCTCCCCGAATTACGCTGCGCCCACCCCGCGTTAGCTTGCGCGTACGTCGCCGGGGCTCGCTGCAGGTGTGGCGTTGTGGGGGGGGCACGGGAGGGGTGGGCGGGCGGGGAAACAGACAAGGGCAGACTCTCCCCCCGCTCGCGCGCCCTCTCATCCCCACTCAAACTGCTGCCGTTGCCGGTGGCGCCGCTCCCGCCGTCGCTGCTGCCGAAGCCACCGCCGCCGCCGCCGCCGCTGCTGCTGCTGCGGCCGCTACCACCGTCACCGCCGTCGTCGTTGCCGCCCCCCCCGGAGCTCTGGCCGAGGCCGCCACTCCCGCTGCCGGCGACGTAGCTCTGGCCGAAGCCTCCACCTACGTCGCAGTGCGTCCTGCTGTCGCCGCTCCTGATGACGCTGCTGTCGGCGACGGGGCTCCGGCCGAAGCCGTCCGCGCCGCCGCCGCCGCCGCTCCCGGTGGTGCCGCTTGGGGGGAAGCATCACCCCCCGGCATGTGCCCATGCATCTCTACCTCAATCGAACGGGAGGTCCACTCCCAGTACGGCCCCTCTGGTCGCTCTCCTCCACCGGGACCGCTTCCCTCTGTCAAAGGGATGGGTTGACGCTCCACCCCAGGCTGCGCCATCTCCACCGTCGCCGCTGCTGCTGCGGCGGCCACCGCTGCTCCGGTCCTCCTTACCACCGCTGTTGTGGTCTCCCTTCTCACGCACCTCCTGCGCAAATAATCCTCCCGGGTCAAAAGGGTACGACGCGCCCCTCTCGAAACCGTAGATGCCGTCGTCTCCACCGCTGCTGCAGGTCAGGCCGCCGCTGTCGGCGCACGTATCTTGACTGCCCACCGCCAACGCGGCAACCGGGGACGCCGCTGCCGCTGTCGCTCCCGGCGGCGTTGCTCCTGCCGCCGCAGCTCTGGCCGAAGCCGCCGCTGCGACCGCCGGTGCGGATGCCGTTCCACAAATCCCAACCGTTGAAGATGGGGCAGCAGGACGGATCTCATCGACATGGTCTGCTGTGGGTGATGGCACAAGTGAGGCTGCTGGCTGCTGCTGCTGCTGCTGCGACGGTGACTGCTTGGGTTGTTGCGATGCCGCGGACGGGGAAACTACAACAACGCGGTATGGTCCGGGAATCTGCCGCATTGCTACACTGCTACCGTAACCGGCCTCCATGAGATCCAGCTCTGCGCGTTTTCGCGCTACTGCAGGTGATACACATGATGTCGTGGGTCGCGGGGGAGAATGAGTGGCGGGGTGTGTAACTGTGTTGAGAGAAGTTACGTTGGCGGGGGCTTTTACCGGCAGAGACGCCGCAAACGAACCGGCAGCAGCCCCCCCCCCCCTCTCGCCAACAAACACCCCACCACTCACCTGTCCAACCACACCGCCCGTGGAGCCCGGCCGCCAGCTGCTGTTGCCGCGGCTGCTGCTGTTGCTGCTGCAGCTGCAGCTGGAACACAGACCCGCCGCCAAAGCCACCGTTCCTCTGCTGCTGCTGAAACGGTCTGCGGGCGAGGTTGAACTTGCAATACTGATGTGCATGACCTTTCTCTCCACAGCAGCTGCATTGCTGCTGCTGTTCGGGAGGGGGAGCAGCGGGAGGGCGTGAGCGTTCGTTGGGCACCAGCTGCTGCTGATGCTGGTACTGGCTGTGCCCTGTAAGGACGTGGTTGTGGCGGCTGCTTTGCTGCTGCACTCCTCTCGTCACCTGCTGCTGGTGTCCACCGTACCACACATGGGGCTTCTTCCCCTCTCTCTCTGACAAAAAATGGTTTGGATCGATCCTTCCGTGTCCTCGTCTAAAAACAATCTCCCGGATCCACCGCCGGGCCCACCCCCGACATGTACACCTCCTCCAGCTGCCCACCCAGCTTGACCACCTGCTGCCTTCCCAGCACTCTCTAACGCAGCGATCTTGCCCATCGCTAGTTGGACTTTCTTCCTCAATTCCTCTACCGCCCTCGCCGCGGCTGCTGCCCTCTCCGCAGCTGCTGCCTTCTCTGCAGCATGTTCATCCGACATCGGTCGAACTTATTTCGATTAATTAATCGTGTTTGTGTACCCCCGTGACCACCCACGGAGGTTACCGTGCCCACCCACGGAGGATACCGGGCCCACCCACGGTATGATGTAAACCCAGAGGACCGATGCAGATGATATATAACCTTGATTAACACACACGTGCTCTTCCAGCACGGACCGAAGTCAGTACAGGTCCTGTTTCAGTGAACACATGCGCAGACGAACCACCCTTCACTCCCAATACTGGGAACCACACGCACCGCAATCACAACAACATCAAGCACCGAGGCAGTACGTTAGCATCGGCTCCGGTGCGCGTTTTCTCTGCTCTCCCCCGCGGATGCGTCACCGGGTTGATCACATGTTCAGGGTGCTGTATGTTCCCTCCGGTGGTATTTTGCGTTTGAATCTTACAGCAGTACCGGTAGGCAGTAGATTGGATCTGGAAAGGATATCTGCCCCACATCAGAGAGATTAGGCATGGATGAATAGTATTGTACTGTGTGTGTCCTGTGCGAATTGCTGATAAGCGTGCTTTTGGGTAGGCTGCCTCTGTGTCTCCCTGCTGGTCTCTATGCATGTTTTTTGCTCGTAGGCGAGGCACAACGGCGATCTTTCGGCACGCAAAGTGATCGGAGCTGAGAACGGAGCTGAATCGGCTGTATGTAGAGCCGACTACAGTATGCACTCATGCCTACGTTTGAACCTGCGGCTTGATGCTATCACTTTCGTAGATATAGCCTAACCCAGGGCGAATACTTGCAGTTTTATCATGCAAATGTGCTAACGGGCTAAAACTGCCCACTGTAGCGCAGTTGCTCCACGGAGTCTACGGCTGCCCAGTCGCCGGCGGGGGCAGCAGAGTCAGCACAAGCTGAGTGGTTCCTTTCCACATGCTGAACATGGCTACGGCCGCTTCTGAGCAAACCAGCGGGAGCGTGTTATACCCAAAAGAGGATAGGCACGTACTTCCTTACGTAGCTCGTCCTCGATTCTCGCCTCAATATTACTACAGATGCGTGTCCAGATTTTGTCTACTGCAGGGTATGCCAAAATGAAACGCCGCACTCGCTCGCGCGTTTTCCCGTTCAACCCCCATACCACGTCCCAATAATAATAATTGCACGCTGAACGCGCTCACCTCAGTACGGTGGACAGTTGTCTATCGATTGCGTAGACCTGTGGCTATTATCCCCAACCTGACTGGGTCGTCACGTGCCGCTTGTTGTTTCCTTCCGCTGTGTGGCCCTAGATCTAGGGAGCAACGGTCAAGCGTCTTGTGCAAAAGGTCGCTCACGTACGTCACGATTGTAGGGAATCGTTAAGCAATGCGCTGTTCCGGACCGCACATCGCAGCCTACAGGGTGCTAGCCGGCAGCTATGTCTTGGTGTTGGCACCAGAAGATATCTCCGTGTAACGAAAGACCAGAGGGGCCGCCGTTCCAGATGGGAACAGCATGAGAGAACAGGCATAGGGGACATCGGCGTGTTTTCTGTCTCTCGTTGGTTCTCAGTCCGCAGTGCAGTTCACCCGAACAGAAACAAGTGCCGCATTTTTGGGGTTCAAGTGCCGCATCGGGTAAAGTGGGCACGTGTTCACGCGTTCACGCGTTCACACGTTCACACGTTTCGCACGTTACACCTGGTTTAACACAGCAGCAGTTACACAGCCGCGTTTCACTTACATCACACGGGGCGGGTTTATTTCTTACGTCGGCGGGGGCGGGGGGGGGGGGGGGTTACAGAAAAGGCGTGGGAGTGGGTCTCACGGCTGTCATGTTGGTGATCCAATCCAGGGAATGGCCTCGCCGTTCATCCTTTTTGGGTGTCCGGCGGTGCGTTATTCGATCGTCACACACACGTCGCCTTTGATGAAGCTAAGCGCGGCGGTGCAAAGGACAATAAGGGACAGGGCAGCAACTCCCAGAGTGTCACCTCCCTGTGGTAGAGGACACTGCTGCGTAACAGAGTGTTTCATCACAGCAGTTCTTGCAGTCCCCAACGGTGGCTCCCGGCAATGCGTGTGCGTGTTTATTTTCGACACGACTGTGCAGTGTAAACTATATCTCGAGATCTCGAGGAAGGTCCTCTGTTTAGACTCTGCGTGTGCGAAAAACAATGCAACACGTACATAATACGCATAGGTTCAATTCAACTGCCTTTGGCATACAGTCTCAACTGCCTTTGGCATTTGTGTAATATCTCATTCGTTTGTAAGCTGGACACGAGTTTTATATTGCCGACCGGGGTCACCGGGCCTCAGTGTGCTACAGTACGGCTGCTTGCCGTAGTCTGCAACTAACTGCTGTTCCAATCGATCACTTTAAGTTGGAGGGCGCTCTCTTTGGCACATTCATTTTCTGTTCCACGAACAGGGGGGTCAACAAAGCATGAGTTGGCACCAAGGGCAGTTTGATGGAGCGCTCATATGTTCCATACTTGTCGAATGAATCCCGTAACACAGGGGAAAAGTTGATCCCTACTTGTTTAGTAGGGCCGTGGTGCGTGGTGGCGTGTGTGCTCCTTACGAAAACAAATGCGTGTGTGCTCTGTAGACGGCGTGACGGGTCCAAGATGGCAGAGAGCTCGTGCCGTTCGTACATTGTGCCTTTCCGCTGCTCCGGCTTGATGGCTTAGGGTTAGTTAGGAACACATATGGGGTGCTTCTTACAATGATCCACAACGGCCCAGCAGCTGCTGAGCAACATCGCTTACTTCGTGAATCGCCACCAACGCCGTGATCAAGCGATCCAATCTTCACCCTGTCTACAAATGTTCACTGAAAGTTTACTCCTCCAATGATAACTGTCAGTGCCTCCGGAGATATTTTCTTCAGATGAAAGTGATGAGTCTTTTTCGCTTCACTGCATGAAACCTCCAAGATCGAGAAACGTGCGGCGTGCCAAAGATTTTGCTGACAACATCCCACGACAGCTATTTTCAGCTGATCTCTTCCTCTCCTTCCGTCGGTGGCCCTTGCCAACTAGTTTCTTGCTGCAGAGGATGGAACCAAAACGTCGCCAAGCACCTTTCGCTCGCCGCCGGGTCGTGATATCGCTTCCATGCCCCCAACTCCAAGCTGGATTTTTTTTCAGGGTTTCAGGTGTGATGGCGTCGAAATCAGCCCAAGACGCAGAACAGACGAGTGAAAGAGCAAAATTATGTGAGCACGCCATACCGGTGGCTATGTAGCTTGCAAGAGGGAAAGAGCAATGGTGGGTGGGCGAATAATTCCAATGGATATTTGAACAACCACACGGCATCAAATGAGGCACCCAATAGCTGCACCACAGTGGCCAACCACAGGCCAACCTATTCTACAAGGACGACCTTTGTTAGAGGCGACACGAGATTGACGAAGAATTTTCAATACACATCACACACAGCGTCGTCGACTGCACGTCCTGCGCTTTTGTTCTATCCAACTGTAAGGACCTCACCTTTCGCCGTCCAATCGCGACCGGCGGAGGATCCTTGACCCCGGTCCCCCCCCTGGATACAGGCCTCCTGGTAGACGCTCCATGCAAAAACTCTTGTAGTTCGCCAGGACGTGAGGGTCGAGGTCGTTCGCTGCGATGGCTCGCCGATAAAACAGCTCTGCTCAAAACACGTGCGGCATCAAGTGGAAATCAGGGTAAAGTTTGAGGATGGCGATCAACCCGTTTTTACGTTAGAGCAGACGTATTTTCCTCGCGGTTGAGACTTGACCGATTTGTATAGCCCAAAGGCGGAAGTTTGTTGCATTGTAACATCCTTGAACATGCTTGAACGTGGTAAACTCACGCTTCCCCAGGAGCATTGGCGGCGAAGTATCGTCGTGTTCGTGAGGTGCCAATTTATGTAAGGAGTCCGACCGGTCTCGCTGGCGATTTTCCCCCACCTGGCCCCAAGCCGAGCAAGGCACGTTCGTCCAGATACGAAAATCACAAAAGAGCACATATCTCCGTCCACAATAAGGGCCCACATACTTACCGGCCTGTGCCGGGTCTCGGCGGACATGCTCGAGAACCAAAGCCCAGTTCAACAACGCCCTTGCATGCTTTGGCGAGGAGAGGAGACCAAAGTGGTAAAACGCCCCCTCGGCGAGGGCAAAAGTGTTGAGATCACGGTCCCTGCAGGGGGGAAGAGGAGTACGGCCGGTCGCGGAATCGTCTCGGTGGCCCTCAACCTCGCAATTGTGCTGAGCATCTGAGATCTGTATCAAGCATGACGTGGTCGATGACGTCATCATCGCCCTCTGCTTACTACCTTACCTCTCTCGATCTGTCTGTGGCATTTGGTTGTCCTGGGGCTTGGACGGATTGCATTCTCGCCATGACTCTTGAGGGCTGCTGTGTTGTACCTCTTTGGCTAACATGTCGGCGAGCTGGTTGAACAGAGTAGTGGACTCCCTCAACCTCAGAGCACGTAGACCCGAAGAGGCACAAACACTACCAATGGGGGTCGTGGATGGTTGAACGACGACAGAGAGTGCCAAACCTACGCTATTCCAACTGCCGCGTAGAACACAACAGGAAGGTACCTATCCTGGGATTCAAACATATCAGATGCCTAAACTTGCGAAAGAGTCAGGCGGATTGCCACGAGCCGATTTACCGATATTTCGAAACAACTACGGACACATTGATAGCACAGAAGGCATAATCTCAAACAATCACGCCCGTCCGACATATCTGCGTTATCTCACGACACCTGTAGTCTGCCGCGCTCAGCAACGCCAGCCCCTTGGCACGGCTTTGCTCCCTCGGGAAGCGACAGCTCGAGAGCAAGAACAGGCCGCAGGCGCGCTGAACGAGAGGATTTTCCCCGGATAACTCAAGCGCGGCGTCGTAGAGGGGGCCGGCGGTGTCGAGGTCGTGCAGATGCGTATGCAGCACCTTCCGAAAGCGAGAAATCAAGACAATGAGGCGAGGTAGAAGAGCAACGGTATTTGCCTTTTGGGGTTGGTGGGTGGGGTAGGTTGAGGTTGGTGTCAGAAAGTTATTTTTGTGGTGAGAATTTTCTTGACCTGCGGTTCTTGGTGTGCCTCTCACCAGAGCGTAGTTGAGGGTTGATGCCAGCCGACCCCCACCCTGTACCCATGCCTCCTCCGCTTCTTGGGAAAAACGTATCCCCCGTTCAATGACATCCGGTCCAGGGATGCCGTAGAAAGCTTGGAGGTGATACCGGCAGGCCTTGACGATGACTGCCGCGGCCTCAGGCACTGACAAGAACGATCGTTGCCCTGCCAGCCGATATCAAGAAAGATAGGTTTTTCGACAAGGAGAGGTGTATCAACAGACAGAGGTGTATCAAGAGAGAGAGGTGTATCAGCAGAGAGAGGTGTATCAACAGAGAGGTGTATCAACACAGAGAGATTTATCGATAAAGAGAGGTGTATCAACAGAGATGGTGTATCAACATAGAGAGGTGTACCCCACACTCTTTGCAATCAATGATCAGATTTCCAGCGCTTGCTGCCTCCGTATTATTTTCAAAGACTTGCATTCATAGGTCACGTAACAGAGGACGACACCCCCTCCCCCCGACCCCGAAATCTAGACATGAGTGGGTTGGCGCTGTCGGCAAAGAGCTGTAAAGCACGCCACCCCAAATATAGACCCCGTAGTATGCGCTACCAAAGACGCGTGACGCATGGACGAGTGGAGTGAGGATAGCTGTTTACGGAAACCTCACGGGTTGAGTGATGAATAAGATTGCCGGGCACATAGACGTGTGGAGTGAGGATAGCAATGTAATGAAACCTCAAGGGTTGAGTGAGGTTTGAGATTGCCGGACACACAGACGAGTGAGGATAGCTGCATACTGAAATCTCACAGATGGATTGGTTTTTGAGATTGCCGGACACAAATACGCAATGGGTAAGGATAGCTGCATACTGAAACTTCACAGATGGATTGGTTTTGAGATTGCCAGACACATAGACGCGTTGAGTGGGGATAGCTGCATACTGAAACCCCACGGGTTGAGTGATGTTTGTGATTGCCGGACACGTAGACGCATTGAGTGAGGATAGCTGCATACTGAAACCTCACAGGTGATTTGTATTGGAGATTGCCGGACACATGGCGTGTTGAGTGAGGATAGCTGCATACTGAAATCTCACAGATGGACTGGTTTTTGAGATTGCCAAACACATAGACGCGTTGAGTGAGGTTCACTGCATACTAACACCTCACGGGTTGAGTGGATTTCGAGATTGCCGGATACATAGACGGGTTGAGTGAGGATAGCTGCATACTGAAACCTCACGGGTTGAGTGATGTTTGCGATTGCCGGACACATAGAAGCATTGAGTGAGGAAAGCTGCATACTGAAACCTCACAGATGGATTGGTTTTTTGAGATTGACAAACACATAGACGCGTTGAGTGAGGATAGCTGTATACAGAAAATCCACAGTAGCTATATTGAGGGGACAATTCGAGAATGCAGTACACATAGATCCGATCCCCAACCCGTGCCCGAAGCCCCCCTGAAAAATAGAGGCCATGCGCCCCCCCCCCCCTCTACCTCCCCCAGAGGATGAGGGTACAATCCAAAGTAAGCACAAGCTTACCTAAGGTTAATGCCTATTGGTACGGCGTTAAAAAAAAATACTAGAGTCCCCCATTGGGCGGTGGAGGACTTAGAGCTAAGACACCCCAAAACTCTCCGGCGTGAGGTCCAAAATGGATCGGACGGTGGAGGGGGGGGGGGTGTTTGTTGCTTGAAGTGGATCAATGAAACATAGAGCCATCAAAGCAAAGCTTATTACTCACGTCGAGCAAGCTGAACGACCTGACCAACCACGCAAAAACTGCGGAGCTAGATGTGCGGCACGCACAATGCATTGTTTTCGATTGGAGAGAGGCGATACCAAAGCAGTAAGGCATTGTTGGCCAAACTTTCGGCAGATAGGTCTACTCGGGAGCGGAAGTGGGGTAGCAACCCATGGTGGAGCGTACATGAGAAGCTGGACGTTGGTGTACGCTCCATCCCGGCGTGTGAGTAGGATCTTAGGCTATGCAAGTCGTCCCTGAACTTATTGTGGTGAAAATGACCTCCCAGGAGGAAAGTAGCTTGTACCGCGCGACTTCGGAGATGGCACACTGGGTGGTCGGGGGACGTCTGGGTGTGTACTAAGAAGAGCGCCCGGCACAAGACTGGGGTACTTGTGCCAGGAGGTGTGAACTTGGATCTAGACTACGAGCCCATGTTGGAGGCGCTATTTAGCGTCGGTGAGCCGGCAAAAGAACTGAAAGGAACCACAACCCCCACCGGACACTCGGATTGGGAAGGCCGAGTATTCCGTATACCTTCCTGAAAAAACACGAAAAACAAGTGACCACGGTCCAGTTGCTGTAGAGATCATGAGGATGGTGAAGAAGCCGGGAGGATGGAAGCAGAAACTGTGGAAGGGAGGCAGGTTGGAGCTGCTGCTGTTTGGGATTCCAAGGGACATGACGAGGATAGAGTTCAAGAACTGTTGTGACAGGGAGGGACTGCACTGCCTAGCAAGGGGAGAAGTAGGCAGAGAGCATGAATATTTCCGGGTGAAATTGGCCAAGGTAGACAGCCAAGAGTGCTTGGGGGTTGACATCGAGAAGCTGTCGCACTACGTGAGGAAGTTTGGATGGAGGGTTTGCGTCGCGAACATGATAGAAACAGAGAAGGTAAGGAGACAAGAGGCGAGGGCGATGGAGGCGAAGAAGGGACCGGGCGGGGGAGGCGAGCAGGCAAGTAAGAAGAACGCCGAGAAGAAGCGGAAGGCGAACGATAGAGTGCGCAAAATCTCCAATAGGGAAAGCACAAGCTGAGAGTGGGGTCGTGGAACGTGTGCGGGTTCGCAAGGAGTGAGCGCAAGCGGTTGGAAATAGTGGACCAAGTAGAACAAAGCGATCTAGATGTAGAGGGGATCCAAGAGACGTGGAACTGAAGGATGGGGACGTGGTATACAAACTAGGGAAATACCGGTGGGTAGGGAAGGCAAGAAAGGGCTTAGACCCGAAGAAATGGGGGGAGGGGGAAGTCGGATTCCTGGTCAAGGAACACTTGTTTGACGTGGTGGAAGTAGTGGTGAAAACGGAGTTCGAGGAAAGCCTATTGCTTAAGATACCTGGGGAGCGGGGTGAGAAAGATTTGTTTCTAGGGAACGTATACGTCCCACCGTCGTCGAAGGAAGTCGCAAGCAAGGCACAGGAGAACTTTGGACACATTAGGGAAGATGTCCAGAGGTTCAGTAGGAAGGGAGAAGTTGTCTTGGTGGGCGATTTCAACTCCAGAGTAGGGAAAGCTTCCAGTAGAGGACAGGCGATCGGGCAGCACGGAGAAGACAAAGTGAATGACAACGGAGTAAGGATGCTTGAATTCTTGAGAAGCAACAAGCTGATGGTGTTGAACGGTAGGAGGGAATGCGATAAGCCGGAGTTCACCAGGCAAAGGGCAGTTTGCAATGAATACTCAATCCTCGACTGCATCCTGGGAGATAGGGGGAGCACACAGATCCCAGAGCTGCACGTAAGTGCGATAGATATAGGTTCGACCGACCACTTCCTCATATGGGCAAACATTGACCGATCTAGAAAGACGGAGAGTAAGAAACAGAGGAAAGTGTTCCGGTGGAAAGTAGAGCGTTTGGGAGACGAGGGGACACGGGATGAATTCCAGAAGGGACTGGTACTGTTGAACCCTTCAGGAAACTGCTGAGAAGCGTCGAAGACGGACAGGTAGACGTACAAGCAGGAGGGGACAGGGTGGTTGAAGGATGGGAGTCCATAGTGAACACAACGGCAGAGAGAGTAGTGGGAAAGAAGGTGGTACGATGTGGGGTATCGGTTAAGTGGTGGGATGACGAGCTGAAAGAGGAAATAGGGGAACGTCGAGAAGTCTTCAAGCAGCACCTGAGTGAGGGGTCTGAGGAGAGTTGGGAAAAGTACAGGGCCAACAGGAAACAGGTGAAGGGACTAGTGAAAAAGAAGAAAAAGTGCATTTGGGACGAAGTAGTGCAGAAGGCCAACGGAGGCCTGGAGGGGAACGCCAAGCAGATGTGGGAAGGGATTGGTGGGATGGTAAGAAAGACCACGCAAGGGGGGGATGGGTAGCAACTTTGTGAGGTGTGAACGGTGGACTAGTCGGCAGTGGGAAAGGAAAAAGGGAAGTTCTAGCAGGACACTACAGGAGACTTGGAGTGCCTTCGGAGAATGAAGATTTTGACCAAGTGCTTAAGAAGGAGGTGGACGCATGGGCCCAGAAAGAAGAAGAGACATCGAAGGCAGACGTTGGGAACGTAGAACTAGAAAATGAGTTCACTGAGGACGAGGTTGAGGCGTGTGTGAACAAGCTGCAGTGCCACAAAGCAGCAGGGGCGGATGGGATAGTAAACGAGTTCACGAAGTTTGGGGGGAAGGGGATGATCCAGCTGATGGTACTGCTGTACAACTGGGTGTGGATAAACGAGTATGCGCCAAGTAGATGGAGGGAAGGAGTGGTTGTGAACTTGTTTAAGAAAGGAGACAAGACTGACCCAGGAAACTACAGGGGTATGACACTGTTGAACACAGCAGGAAAACTGTTTGTAAGCTGCTGAACGATAGGATAGTGGAGTATTGGAGAAGGAACGTAGCATTAGTGAGGGCCAGGCAGGTTTCCGACAGAAGAGGGGGTGCGTAGGCCACGCATTCACGGTAGGGAGAATCATCCAAGGTAGAAAGAGGGCGTGAAAGCCGACGTACTGCTTCTTCCTGGACGTGAAAAAGGCATACGATACCGTACGGAGAAATGGGCTGTGGAAACAATTGTTCAAGTACGGGATCAAGGAGAAAATGTGGAGAGTGCTGAAGAAGATGACAGAGTGTACGAAAAGCGCGGTCATGCTAGACGGAGAACTGTCTAAGTTCTTCGACATTGAGCAGGGGGTCCCACAAGGTTGCACGCTGTCCCCAACATTGTTCCAGGTGATCTGTTGGAAGTCGTAGAGGCAGTCCGGAAGGGAGTAAAAGTAGGGGACACGGAAACTTCGGTGTCAGGAATGCTGTTTGCGGATGACTTTGTTGGTATGTCGGACACCCCTGAGGGACTGCAACTGCAAATTGACGCGGCGAAGAAGTTTACTGATAAGTGGAGATTGTCTGCCAAGGTTAAGAAGAGTGCCGTCATGGTGTGCAACGAGGTTAGGGAGGAACCAGTAGAACATAGATGGAAGTGGGGGATCGAGGAGATTGCAGTAGTGGACCAGTACACATACCTCGGAGTAGAGATCGCAAAAGACTGCTCGTGGAATGCACACATGTCCAAGGTAGCGGAAAAGGGCAAAGCACGAGCAGGGAAGCTGCACCCACTACTCGCAAACCGGCACCTCGATACACGCATCACATTGACGGTTTGGAAGAGCGTAGTCGTACCGCCGCTAGAGTACGCCGGAGAAGTATGGGAAGGAAATAAGAAGGTAGAGAAAGAACTCGAGGCGGCACAGATGAACGCAGCGAAAATCATCCTAGGATGCTCCAAGCGCACAAGTGATGCAGCCGTCAGGGCAGAATTGGGGATCCAATCCCTACGGTCGGGAAGAGACGCAAGGAAGCTGACATGGCAGTGTCGCATGTGCGGGATGAGAGAGGAGAGGTTGCCGAGAATAGTATGGGAGGCGAAGTGGGCAAGCAAAAAGAGGGGTAGACAACCCACCGAATGGGTCAAGGTTGTAGAGGACGTATGGAAGGGGTTAGACATCGACGAAGATGAAACGCTGGAAACGGAGGGTCTACAGGGTTTCAAGGAGAAGATATCTGTTGCTTGTGCCGAGAGAGAAGAACAGAATATAAGGAAAGAAACCAAGGATAAGGAGGGTCTAGAAGTGTACGGAATGTTGAAGGAAGGAGTAGGGTTCAAGGATGACCTACATGGACCAATCGATGCAGGGACAAAGATTAAGGTAAAATTCAGGACCGGGGACGTAGGCCTTCGAGAACGTCGACGAAGACATAGGACGGTAGACGACGAAGACGACAAGTTCACATGTGATTGCGGCTTCGAATGCAAAGACCGTGTTCATGTAGTCGCGGAATGTCCGTGGTACGAAGAGGAGAGGGAAGTGTACATGACTGAGCTGGGAAAAATACAAGGGACGTACAGGGAGATGTTTGAGGCATGGAATAGAGAGGAGAGGACGGTAGCTGTACTGGGGAGTAGGAAGTGGTTTGAAAAGGTGGGAAGGGATATCGTTAGGATAGACAAACTAGGGAAGACATTTTTGAGCCACCTTTGGCAAAGTAGGAAGGAACGATTGGCCATCGGTGATCGGTCCTGTGGGAACAAGGCTCCGTCCTCTCGAGGACGCGTAGTCAATGGTCTAACCGCAAAGGCATGCAAAACACTAGAGTACGCCCCCCCTCCGTCGAGACTAGAAAACATGATCTGTTCATGTTTCAAAGCCTAGTCGCAACGAGGGAGAGCATATCTGATGGTGGAATAGGGGTTAGGTAGAACGCTATGCTTGATCTACTCTTCCACAATAGGTAGAATTGCGAGCAACGGAATAGAAGGGGTGAGGAAGCAAAACTTCGTATTTTCTGAAATGTGTGTCTTTATCCGAACTAGTTCTTCTCTCTCACCAGTGGCGGGATTTGTGTAGAACGTTTTGCCAGAGCGGTCCTTCTGCTCAATCCACTCGTCGGCAGGCTCCTCCAAATCCTGAACGAGCAAATGTCGATATTATTCAAATGTTATTGACGACATGATCACTTCACAAAACGCCTTCACGATGTCTGGTTCTAAGTGACGAGGCTAGAGATACGACTGGCGTAGGTAAAATAGTGGTATTTAAAGCTTTATAAGGAGTGGTGTTTCCGACGCAGACTCTTTTCTGTCTGAGGTCAAAGAGGTGTCGTAGTTTGATTCCCGCCGCAGAGAGAACAAGGAGCTGCCCACAGTTTACGCGCGCAGACGGACGTTGATATATATACAACGATAAGATCTAACACATTGCTGATGCAATCCACCACCCGGGTTGGTGTCGAATATTGCTTCTTCCTTTTCAAGCGCACACGTGTGATTGGAGGGATAACCTTAAGATCGTGCTTGATTACGTTGGCGATTTCAGAAGACGTGCTTGGAAACCGCACCTGGTCAGGGCGAAGGAGGCTTGGTTTTACGAAGGTGTCGATCTTGGTCTTGTTGCTGTGATAGTAGAACTTTCCGCTGTAGACGTCAAAGCGCTTCTCGAACTGCGACAAGATGCGGCTTCTCGCCCGATCTCTCGCTTGCCTCATTCGAGACAGTCCCTGGACGCGCGAGGCTGCAAGGTTGCGCCTCTGCGTTTCTATCTCATAGAACGTCACTAACACCTGCGCGACGCACGAACGGAGGTTGTCATCGATGGTATGCCGAGGATGGACAAGGTCAATCGCACCACTTCGGATCGTTTTCTAGATGCCGTGTCGCGAAACGAGTTGATACAGGTTCGGAACGCTACGTGTGCAAAAATGAACGTGACCCCCAGGAGCGTTCATGGTTGTTTCCATGCATCTGGGTTTACACAACAACACATGTTGCCGTGGTGTACGGAGCAAACGCAAGCTATCACCTCAAATCACCTCTGTCTGGTGTTGCTACTAACGGCATTCATCCGGCATGGAGCCTCACGTCGTGATTTGCGGCGATTGTTTAGAAACCCGACCAACAGCAAATTGTTGACTTTATCAACGAATAATATCTCGTCGTATGTGAATGCCTGATAGTCGCAGTCGTGGGAAAGGAGAGGTGTCCAAAGCTCACACCTACGGCAGCGTGTGTTTGTCGGCCTGACTTATTGATAGCAGCGAACGTTCTTGGTTCGTAGTATTCACGAACTCGTGATCAGGACCAACCAGGATGGAGATGGGGGCGTCAGTTCACTGACGTAATTGATGACATCTCATTCAATAGCCGTCGCTCAGGTTTGTCCTACATGTCGTACGGCTTTTGCCAAGCGGCACAGCTCCCACCCGGGATCACACTGATTAGGTACTCTGCAGTGTATGTCTTTTGCTAATTTCACACGAGAACACTTCTACCGTTCCTTATTCTTCGTACTCCACACACAATCGCCATTTATCACACTTCCCACCACGTGTGCGCACAAATTATCGCTATACCACCTCGCAGAGACCTGAACAACGTAAAAATGCCTCACCCTCTCCCATCGTGCCACCGGCCTCCGCGCCACCTTCTGCTTCTGCTCGGTTTCGTTTCCATCCCAACCACCTCTACCACCGCCTCCCCCGCTGGGCATTGCGACCTCAACAACACGGACTCTATCGACCTTGATCCGGCGCAAGACCCAACGGGCAAGGGTGACCTCTCGCCCCCTGGCGGTGATGTCGATCTTTGATAATGCGGCAGAAAAACGGGGACGACAGGAAGGTGATGGTCTCAGTGCTGGGGGGTAGGAGAACAAATCTCGTGGCGAGGAGACTTTCGCTGAGTGAACGGAAGACTTCATTAGGTAACGCTAACAGTGAGCGGGTGGTGGGACCTTCTCGGTGACCTCGCTCATGGGTTCTGTAGAACCGCGCAGTGGTTGGCGGTGATGAGCGGCATATCGGTGAAAGAAGCGAAAAAATCAGAGCAAAAAATGTTCTGGCTGTGCTAGATAGCTCGGCTACAAGGGCGCACAGCATGAACAAGAACCAGTTTAAATGTTTTCATGTATATATATATATAGGCGGGGGGAGGTTTTTCATTTCTTGTGCGGAGACAAGGCAAGATACTGGAGCGGCGCTCACTTAAAAATCGCTGTTACCTTCGCTCCTTTTTATTGTGATGTGGGTGCGACAGGAGGAAACACTCGGGGTGGCGTTCAAATTGTTTGATCAGTGAAAATCGAACCGTCAAGTTCTTGACCACTAAGGTTTGAAGTGAGGACTACATCTGCACAGTGAAAAAGGAAGTAGAACCAGGCACTACTAGCGATGGCTTTCTTGATTCCAGAGAAAGAAGTCTACACTGATCGAGGGAGGGGTGCTCAGCACAGGCAAGAAAAACATACGCAGGCAATGCTTCGTGATAGCCAGCCACCAAACGACACAGGAGGCGGAGGGCCAAGAAGCTGCTCACATCCGGAGCGGAGGCCACCTCATCCGTCTCAAGCGGCGTGCCATCCCCGAACAGCTCAAGGTCGGGGACGGCTCCATCGTACCACACGAACGGCAACGCTCCCATGCCGGTCAGCTCGGCGTCCGTTGGCGGTGCCTCTGCTGTCCCTGCCGCTGGTGGCGGCGGCCCCGATACCGCTGGGCTAGGGCCTGGAGGATTGCCACAAGAACGTGGTGCCACGTTGTGAAAAACTTGGATACTATCGGCCATTTCTTCTGTTTTTTCATCAGGCCCTCCAAACACAAGGACAAGCTACAATATGTGTCGGGTTTATGAAGTCGTTGAGCCATCGAGGTGAACCGTGTACCAGGCTTTACCGGATAACTCACCCTGTGGTGGCTCGTCCTCGCCCTCTTCTCCGGGCGGTGGTGCCTTGAGGAGGCTTGTTGTCCCGGAAGCCGTTGTCGACCTCAGGAGGGCAGCAACAGAACCACCGCCTGGGAGTCTTTTCGCCTTGCTTGTTGTGTCTGCCGCCGGCAAGGGCGCTTCGCGTTCCTGCACGGCGCTGCCCAATCTACGGGCGGCGAGAAGCTTGGGCCTCTCGATCTCCACGTTCATCTCGTGCAACTTTAGGATCTGGTCGATTTTCGGGTCGGGAGCGGCAGCCGGGTCGTGTCGTGGGGGGATTGCGTTTGGAGGATTTCTCAGAACGACAGCATCAGTGTCTTCCTCCACGTCCCTTGGAACCACAAACATAACTGGAAAAAACGCGAAAGAGTCTAAAACTCCAGAAAACTTGCGCTTCGAAGAATAAGCTAGATCCGTGTGTTGACGCTTGCCTTCTGCACCTCCCCAAGCCTCCGCGATAGCTCCCGCCTCCTCCTCAACGTCGCCGTTTCAACTTCCCACTCAATCCAGACGGAGATCCCTCGGGCCCCACGAATGGGCAAGACGACCCGAAGCGTTTCGCACCTCTTGGGCTCGTAAGCGGTCACGGCCACGTCCGTTGCTGACCGATACACCTGTTTCGCGATCGCAAGAGAGCGCCCTAGAGGTTGACACGGACGGCTCTTGTTCAAAATTGGCGAGCGTGCGCCGTTTGTTTGCCAGGGCCTCAGGAAAGGCGGTGCGAACAACTCCTTTCGTAAATAATTTTGTCCATTGACTTGTCGTGACCCATGTCTCGACCTCCCACCCCCCCGGGTAAAAAGAAGACAATACAATAACTGATGTGGTGGGTGTCTGAAGTTTGCTTTGGGGAATTTCAGTCAAAATTGTTCCGTGACACCGCGGAAACCGAAGTATCGGACCTTTAAGAAGTAGAAGACCCCGTCCAGCCGACTGGCCACACGGTACACCAGACTTCCGGATTCTGCGGCCACCCTCTTCGCCCTAGACACCACCCACCGCCGTCCATCCCGCTGCTTTCGACAAGACAATCTAGCCGCCACCTTGTCGAGGTTCTCCAGAATCTGTTGGTTGAAGTCGGGGGGAGAACACGATGAAGGTCAGGGAATGAGTGTTGCTGGTCTCGTACATCCCGCCCGGCTATTATAGGTAGTTTCCATATGCTCACATTAAGTCTATCCTCGGTACCACGAAATCCTCGGCGCTATTTACCCTCCCTTTTGAAGCCGGCGTCTAAGGGCTGCTGGGCTTGGCATTTGACTATCACAACCGGGTGATTCCACGGTTGAAAAGAAACGCTTCTGATTTCGTATCCAGGACGTTCTACATGGTTTGTTGATGTCGGCAAACAGCGCGATGCTCACAGTCACGGCGGCCGGTACGAATGAGCCGACGCCCTTTAAGTCCCGTACCTGATGTTTTCTTCATAGCACACAACGCTGCCATATATCTCGGAAGAAACGCGGGATCACGTCGAAGATATGATGGAGCACAACGTACGCGTCAGGGAATGCGCGGCAAACTCTGTTGTTGCTTATATTACCTCAGCGCCACTGAGCGACTCCGTCTTGAGAGTCCGGCACAGCTGGGCGTGAAGAGCCTTCTCCGTGATGACGAACCTGCCGTTTGATATCATCGATAGTCGCTGGTAGCGTTGCGTGTACATGGCTGTATCAAATCCCTACGCCAACATGTGTCTCATACGCAAGATTGCCAGATCGCGGACCTATGGCGACAAAGGACCATCACTGCCCAACACGCCCCTCCTCGTCTTGACCAAACTTTGGCGATGGATGTGTCCGGTACATATCGCTTTCCCTCCATTAGAAGTGTGATGTTCGGATACAGTCTAGAAACCGTGGACACCAAGATGTAGCCCTGTATTCGCAGATTGCTGATACATAACCGGCTCCGGCTCTACCGACTTCCTGACGCACTGAATATGTACGAGCACACAAGTATACCCCGTACCTAAAAGTCTCCTGTGTGACTGGAACATAGGCTCGGACATGCACATCAAGGCCCCGTTGACCTTTTTTGCTCATGGAGACCAACACCATGCATCCGTTCAGGTCACGGGATTGTCGGAACACAACCGCCTGTACGGAGAGGAAGAAGGAAGGCGATTGATGCTGGGTATGCGACTCGCGGCTGCCCTGTACTTAAGCTTCCGTGTGGTTGACGGTTTTCTTTTCGCCGAAGCATGATTGTATCCCCTTACACACCTGAGTGATAATGGTTGCCGTAGCTCTGCCTAATACACAAATGCCGCTTGCCTATGTCACCTACGTTTGCAGAACCTGTTTTGGCCGCCTTTCTACCAAATCAACTACGACGATCGTGCTCATTCAGCACTGATCTGTATGCAGCTTACCTCCTCTCGTCGCCGCCGTTTTCTTCTCTTTACCGCACGCCATTCCCTTAATCTCCTTAGCGTCTCCAGCCGCCGCTTTTCACAGACGGCCGCAAACCTAAGCCGCAAGTGTAGGCGGAATAATACCGTGGTGAAAGAGAAAAATGCGACCGTAAAATGCCCGAAAATACACGCCTTGATACTGATTGCTCGATCGTGTTTTAAATCGCCACTACGAATCGCAACTTTCGATGTTTTGTATGTCAAAGTCTCAATGGCAGGTGAGACACGTTGATGGCCGCGCGGTCCTCCGAAACGTATGTTTGTTGGAGGTATCATGCTCTGAACGAGTGACCCGTGACCTCTGCCGAATTGCAAAGTGCGTCTTTGTACCTTTGTAACGTAACATGATACGCCAACGCTGTCCGGAATCCACTTTGAGTGGAAACTGACTAGCCTTCAACCGCCCCAGAAAATTATGTACTTCACCGTAGGTATCCGTCAGGCGAAAACTTTTGAGAGCACAAATCCAATTGCCGACGCGAGAGTGTGTATAGGTTGAGGAACTGATTGTGCCACCTAGAGCAGCGCACACAATGCAGCCAACACATGTAAGGGGAAGCCCAGAAGCCCTAATTTACGTTTCCAAATCTGAGATGGCGTGACACCACGAACCGAGCTGATTCGACACATTTCCGCAATGACATCACGAAGTGACTTGGTACGGCACGATCCCGTAAATCAAGACCCAAAGTTGACAAGGAAAGCCTCACGGGAGAAGCAACTATGCCCTAGCGCAAGACAACCTTGATGCTCCCCCGTGTGTTACTGGGGTCACCCCACGTCCAACGTACCGGGAACTTAACTTCTTCTACGTCACATTCTTAGCAAGACGATACCAATCTACGCGAAGGGTCAGGGCTCACTTCCACAGCCACGAGAGACGGCGGAACCACGTCTGGATGGTGGTCGACGCGGCCTTCCGCAGCGCTGCAATGCGAAGAGCCTCGAGGCGGCGCAGCTCTGCCAAGTATTGCTTACGCTTCACGGCCATGCGTATCCACGTCTGTTGTGTTGGAAAGAAAGGTGAATTGAACGCGTGCAAAGAAACATGAAGAACAGAGCAAGCCTTGCCACACATGCGAGAGCGTGAGGGGAATCAAGTGTAAGCACAGCAGGGTCCTTCCTGGATGAGGTGACCGTACGCACCACTCGTCACAAGTTGGGGTGGAACTTTCGCCTGCCTCTTACGGGGCAAGTCGGGCTTGAAACGCCTCGTTGAGATATTCGCTGGAGAGGTTTGTACGCAGCTGCTGTTGTTCACTTCCTCTCACTGTTATTTCACCAGGTGTTTCATTCGGACGTATTGCTATCAACATGATATTTCTCGAGCAAGAAGCCAAAGCAGGTTTTGCTCATCAGACGTTTGGGTCTTTCCACAATGCCCTTTACGAACGTGTAAGAGTAGGGCCGCCGCCCGTTGGCGTCGGTAGGTCCATAACCACCATCTTCCTCTCCATATCGCCTGGATCCGCACGGCCGCGCATTGGAGAGGGGCCTCAGCTTTGATAGCGGCATCCTGGAAATAGAACGGTTCACGTCGAGGGCTGTGTTTGGCGTTTGCTCTGCGAGGGTGCCTTGGGCGTGAGTTGTACACCCGACGTACGATGGAGTCAACGAATGGCTGCCCGTGCCTCCGTTGCTGCATGGACATCATCAGACCACGTGAAATACCCTTTATTTGTCGCGTTGAAGACTTCTTGGCGCTGGTCGGGGCGGTATACAACGCATGCGCTACCAAGAATAGCAAGCCGCCGAATCGAGGGCTGATTCTGGCCCACATTATACACGGAGCGATCGGCGGTGACAAGTGTTGCACCTGCTGACAGCGTTACGCACCTTCGCCTGCAGCCACGCCATCTCTCTGACCCCTTCAAGCTCCGGTCTGATTAGCACGTGGTTGAAGACGAGATCTCGAAGCCCCTCAACCTGACTCTTCCTTTGTTCTAACTCCGGATTGCGTAGAATCACCAGAGCCGACAGGGCGTCCTTGAATCCTGTTTTTTTTGGGTAAGCAGACGTATGATGAGACAGACTTCCGTGTGAACGACCCATCCCTTCCTCACAATAGGAGGGCGGGTTTCAAATTATGATCCTCTCTGATGCAGCCGCGTGCGGGCGAACCGCCCCTTCAGAATCCGTCCTTACCCGCCAAATCCATCCTTAGGTCCTGGTCCAGCACGTGCTTCATTACAACCTGCTGGTGGTTGCGAACCGAATCCACCGGAGCATCGGCTGCCGCTGCTCCAACCCCTATGGCGGCAGCAGCAGCGTTGGGCATGCCTACTCCAGCCCCGCCGCCCTCCGCCGCCTGGTGATGGCCCCGTGCCCGACCGGAAGGCGTCCCCGGCGAGTTTCCCCGCTGAGATGTCCCTGCACCCGTTTTACCGCTAGCGGAGGCCTCCCTGCTGTTGCCTCTACTGCCTAGCGAACCGGAATGTTGTTTCGGGTGGGTGGAGGGGTTGCTGTGAGCACGCCTACCAGGGGTGTGTGTGTGAAGGTGCGATGCCCAGCCGTTGTGCGAGGGAGCTAGCTGTAGGCCCTACCCGAGAGCCATGCTCGACACTACGTGCGGACATGAAGTTTATTTGTGTGCACAAAGGAGCGGGTCGAGCATCCACTCCGTGCCCATGTCTGGGTGACGAAGGATTCTAAAACGGGAAGAATAGAATATTGATAGGAGTAATCTCTGCGACATGCGTCCATCCTTGCTCATGCATTCCACGTTCTAGGCACGCTCGATCGAAAGGCAAGCGAGGGCCTACCTACTGCACGTGTTGTCCGATTACTACGGCTTGGCTTGAAAGCCCTCACGACCATATGCGCACGATACCCCAGGCCACCATAATAACCTAAAGCGGCATTGCTACCTGTTGTTTTTCGGCCCCCAACGCCACCACGACTCGCCGCCCCAATCCGCCCCTGCGTCGCACCACCTATACTCTTCCCGTCTGCGTCACGCCCCCTGCTGGCCGTTCGCGCTCCGGTGCTGGACCGAGACACCTCCGGCGCCTTGCGGACGGCAGAAGCAGATGCGCTGGAAGGCGTGCCGGTTCGCGCGCCTGCTGCGGACTTGGGCCTGTTTGGTTGTTGGGCCTTCTGCGGGCGGGTAGTACGTACGTAAGCACGACAGAGAGGAGGAAGTAAGGGCGACTCCCGAGCAAATTCACATTTTGGGGGGGTTGGGACACGCCCTTCAGACCGCTGAGTCTGAGAGCACGACACTGTTTTGATATCCCAGACAAACAGTACTGACACGTGCTTGTCGCACGTCTTCAGTGTCTCGTGAGATGGAATGCGTGCCATCACCGTGTTCGGTGTTTGGGTAATCAGGCCATTCCGCTAGGGCGGAATCCACACGACACCGCCATCTATACCAATAAAACTGAGCCAGCCTCGGGTGTACAAACTACCGGCGCTCGTTGTGGGGGATACAGCTAGAACGTGAACACAATAGAACTACATCGTAGGGGCTATACCGACCCAAAACGTCCGTGCGAGAGCTCTGATCTACGAGACGCCAAACCGTGTGGCATGCCATACGTGGTCATCGGTCCCGGCCGCTGCCTCTCCCATGGCCGCGAGCCTTCTCGCGTGCGCCCTTTCCTCGGCTAACTGTCTCTCCCGCTCCTTCGCGGCTTGGGCCTCAAGCTTCCTGAGCTCCGCCTTGTACTGCCTCGTCCTCTGGCGGAAAATCTGCTCGATATCGTGGTGCCTAGCCGGCTGCGAAACGTCCGCGATGAACCCTAACGAGACCTAGCGGGAAATGGGCCCAGAACGGCGGGGCGGCGGGGGAACAAACTTGACACCTGGGCCAGGAAAAGGTATCACGTGTCTGTGATGGTGGGAGTTTGATGACAAGAAAGGTACCATACGTGGACGATCGTTCTCTCATATCACATGGCACAGTAGCAAAAATAACATGTTCAGCTTCGTTTTCCGGAGTGCGATGGGGTTCAGACATGCAACGCATGCCTTGTGTGGGCATCAAAGACCGGCGGGCGGTGTCTCCAAGTCAAGCTCTACAACATACGGGGGTGATACAATCGTTGCGTGGTCAGGAGGGAGACGATCGCAAGTTTCTGGAAGGGGGAAAGGTAAGAGCAACTGCTAACCCAATAACTGCACCTTATCCGCGCGTGGAGAACGAGCAAACCATTTATTCGTTGAAGCAAACACGCTACTTATTTACTTCGCCAAGTCCTGTTCTTGTAGAAGTACTCGCCGAGCATTCTCGAACATACCACATACAAGTTTTTCACTTGTCTATCACCTACCACGAACTTGTGCCAGCTCTTGAGATCAAGCTCCGCCGGAGACTTTTCGGTGCCAGGGACGCCACCGCTCGCAACCGTCTCTCGGTAAGCAATCGCCAAGAGGTCGTCTAACTTCAGCTTGCGGAAGAAGGTATACCTGCCGTCCGTAAGCAAGCCACGGGAGCAGCGATTGATCGGATACTTCGCGAACGAAAAAAAAAAAAATGAGCGCGGATCAGTTACGAGGGGGGGAAGCAGCTGCGCATCGTATGCCAACCAACCGGTGCTGTGCTTTTAAACAACGAGAAGAAGACGAAACTTTATCCACACAGTCTGGCCCATGTGCTTCAGTCGGAGAGAAGAAGAAGTTCTCCGCGCCCATCCTCTCAAGGCAATGGTAGAAATACTTGCGGTAGTTCCCCTTTCACGGCGACAACAATGTCACGCTCCTTACCTCTGCTTCGGTCGGAAGTCGGCGAAGCGTCGGGCATTAGGCCTATCTGTCACGATGAGTTCCACCTTTGCCCAGGAAAGACGAACCCGAAAGTGAACCTCTTTCTGGCGGCGTCCGGCGTAGTTTTGGTAGTGACTCCCGTACGGGATAGAACCATCCTGGAGAGCGCAGAACGACCACGATCGCGTTGGCGGGGTTGGGGGTGGAGGGAACTCGATAGGAGGAGTTGCAACGGCTCGTTATCGTGTTTTGCCGGCAAGTCCTCGTGCCACAGAGAACTTTCCGGTCCGACTCGGGGGGCTGCTGGCCGACAACGCTTGGTGGTCACGAAATCTCCCCTCCCGGCCCACTCCAGGAAAAATCGTCGAAAATTTCAGACGCGGGGGGATGCATCACGTTTGGCGTTAAAGGGTAAACTGGATGTCTGTTAGTATCGGGTCGAAGAGCCACCGCACACCAGCCTGCATACCTCGTACTGCCGTAACCAGGTTGGGCGTTTGTCCCTAGCCTGCGGCACCATCTTCCAAACCCTCTGGCACTTGGCGAGACCACCAACGCCGCTGCCCCCCCCGATCCCCCCCCCACCGTGCCCCTCCTTCAACCCGCCCCTTCGCTCCGCCCCCGGCATTCTCTCAGACTCTCGCGGTGCGTAGGACATGCGACGCGACCGGTTGTCTGGGGTCCTGCTACGGTTTTTGGGCAGGTGGTCGTCGTCGTGGTCCTGATCTTCAGGTTCCGCTACCGTGCTGTTGGTGGAAGGGTCGTGGGGTTTGCCACGCGCGGGCGGGGGAGTCTTGGGGTGCCGTCGACGGGACTCTTGAACCGCTTCCGAGTGGGCCTTGTAGCCACCGAGAAGAGAACGCCTCCTGAGACAAGGTTGGGGAATCGAGAGGCGGTACAATAGCATGGCAGCGTTCCCGCAGGAAATGTATTAGAGACAATTTCGACAGCAATCGGTTGCCCGTGGCATGGATGAAACCAACACCACGCCGACGAAACGCCAGGGGAACCCACGTGATGATGTCAACAAACCCATGCGCTAACGGGGCAGAAATAGAAGCCGGTTGGTCTCATGTCCACTCGGGGTATGGAACGAACGTATGCCAAACAGCCTCCAATCACCGGTCATGAAAGGGCAAACGTGTATATTTGTTGCACCTCTTCAACGTCCGTCCCAACCACAACGCGGGCCTACCCGGGTTCTCCCGTCCCCTGCAGCGACAACTACAGAGTGACAACCCAAAGTCCCCTCCCCTGCAGCGGCAACTACGGAATGACAATCCACAGTGAAGGGTTGCGGGTCAACGTAACACCGCACCTGCCGCTTCCTGCCCCTTTGCCCGCGACGCCCTTGGGTAGCGCCAACCCCTCAAGATTCTGCTCGAAGATTTCCAGATTTCGAGCGGCGTGTTTTTCGGCCGACTCCCCTCCTCCCGTAGCCCCTTTCTCCCTACCGCCTCCGCCTCCACGGTGGTGCTTCGCACCCATCCCCCCACTCCCCCCCGCCTTCTTGGAAGGCCCCCCGGCGCCCTGTGTTGATCTCGCCCCCGCCCGACGAACGCCGTCCAGCTGCTTTTTGTTGCCGCCAGCGAGCTTCGCTCTCCCTGTCTTGGTCTTGATGGTGGCTTCCAGAGCGGCTCTTCCCCCCGGAGAACTCCTCTCCGCTTCTTCCCCTGTGGTGGGGTGCGCTTCGCCGGGCGCAGCGGTAACCGACGGGGCTACGGGAGAGCTTCCTTTGTCTTCGCCGTCGACAGCGGGGGTGGCTTCTGACCTCGTTTCCTTAGCGGCTGACGGAATCGGCATGCCTGCGGGCTGCTGGCCTACGTGTGTCGTCGCGGGGTCGGCTCTGCTCCCCTCCCCTGCCTCCGTAGCAATGCTCTCGGCGGCGCCAGGAAGACGAGGTGCCGAGGAGGAAGATGCCACAGCCGGGTGAAACTGCACGTGAGGCGGGGAAGAAGATGCCTCGGCGGCGATAGTCTTGAGGTTGCTGTGACTTGACGCCGTGCGAAGGATGCCCCTGGAGGATTGATTCATGGGGCGGAGGAACACTCTTGAGGTTAACCTAGATCGTCCTCAAAGGGTTGTGTTCTTAGCTGCGCCTACGGTACGACACCGCGAACGGAGCTGGCCGGAAAACATAACACATCAACCGTACCACCAGGACCTACAACCGTCACGAGGTTCCCAAGTATCCCTCAGAAAGCGCATCCAAACAAGACTGCAGCTATCACGCACCCGGTCCAAACACACGTTGGTCTTGAGCAAAGCAAAGAGGTCGATTGTTTACCTGTCGTGCCTCAAGCTTCCCCCTTGTAACCCTCCTTTCGTGAGTCGTGCCCCACCTGGCCCACGTCCTCCCCCACGTCCGCCACCCTCCCCATGCCCTCTTGCCCCTGCAACGTGCGAGGAACCCGGTCCATGCCCGCCCACATGGTGGTGGTGATGCTGAAGCGTGGGGAGGTCTTGGGCGGGGGAGACGTGTTGCGGCCGCATAGACTGTTACGATGAAGCGCCGCAATTGAAGCGAGACCGGCGGGAGGCGGAAGTGGAAGGCAATCGCAAACCAGCGCGAAGGCTTTTTTATGATAGAAGAAGCGGCAAGGAGATAGGAGGTGAAACAGATATTGCTCCGTCAGCCCGAGAGAATCTCGTGTCCTCCCTGTCGGAATGCGCCTAGCCCTGGATCCAACCACCCGTTCGCAGCTCACGCACAATTCCGTATAAGGGATGTATTCTAGCAATATAAAGGGGAGAGTCAAAATGCTCACGACCGCGCCGACAAACCTTTCCGCGAGAAATTTCACCGTGGGGTCGGCCCACCCGTAAGGTTGTCGGCAAGCCTGAGTGTTGTCACAGCCCGAGGGCTGTTTCCATGATTAAGAGAAGAACGCCGAACGCAACAGGGATGACGACATCCACGGTGACAGCAGTGGTAAGCTCCGTATCACCAACACCAGCAAGAGTAGCAAGAGTAGCATCACCTTGGCATGGTTGTACACCTCCGACAGAGCGACCCTGCACTTGCCCTTTCCATTCGGGACGACGATCACGCCTCTCACTTCCCACTCGTGGCCCGTACAACAACCGATTCGAATGCGATCTCCCTGAGTTAGATTATGGATTGGCACCACATATGCATAGCAAGGAAAACATGGAGGTCAAGTAGTGGACAATACCAGCAATACTGAAGTATGGCACCGAAAACAGTGATTTCCTAGATTAGTAGTACAGGAGGTTCGGCCTCTACATGTAGGTGTTGTCAGGTGATCCGCTCCGTCCTAAAGAAGCATAAGCCTTGAACTCCATCTCTCGTCTTTGAAGCCGTCGAGAGGCTCCGTGATTTCCCGGCAATGCTTGACAACCGTACGCAGTTCACGCGTGTGCTCGACAGCACGTGTGCCGATTTGTTGTCATCCGCAATTTGTACAGTCACCATGTGATGGCGTACATCTGGTGTGATCTGAGCAGAATGTCCCCCAACATCCCCGACTCTTCTTCTAAAGGGGTGGAACCTTCTGCGTAGAGAATTTAGTCATCACCCACACTGCTGTTGTCCAAGCACACAGAGTATCTACGATAGTTCCGAATCTATTGCCATCAAGACCCCCAAGGAGCTGTTGCTTCCACGTCTGGAGTACAGTTGCCGAGGCGTAAACAAGTGGAGGTCTTGCGCTCGTCGTTGGCATCGACGGGGCACCGACAGCCAGTTCCAGCCGGCCCAAGCCGGTTTGTTTTCAACGGGGGATGAGGAGTTGGGCCTTACCGCCTTCAGCTGCCACGACACGTCGTCTTCGGATAGGATTTCCTTTATGCCTTCCGGGCAAGACACGTTTGTGTCCAGCAGCACAGGAACCTATCGGAACAACAAAAAGATAAGGCCAGATGATTAGCACGGGTTGGGCGGAGCGTCGTGCCCGAGATGCTGTACGGTTTGCCGCTCGTTGTATGGGGTCTCGAACGTACCCTCAAGAGGCGTGGAACCTGCACGTTTCTACTGACGAATGAAAGCGCCTTCAATCTCGCGAGTTTTCATTTGAAACGTCCTTGCAGGAAATACTTCCAAAACTGTCCTACAATTGTATGGGGACATCTTTTTTCTGGTTCTGGTTGAGCAAGTCCACGGCGAAACGGCGACAGACGCAGCTGCCGCACTTGCACGGCTTCCAACTTTAATGGCATCCGAGCACACGATATTTTCCATTTAAGATACGTCTGTTGGCCAACTACCCCAGTCGAGTTCCCGCAAAAATCAATCGGAGTAGCAATCGAGTCCCCTTTGAACCTCTCTTATCCAGTCCGGTTGCCTTGTTCCACTCACCCACGGTCCCTTATACGCCGGTTCCTTGATGGCCTTTGCTATGGTCTTCCAATCTGCCCCCCCTCCTGACCTACCGTGCCAGCTGTGCTTCGTAACGTTTGCACTCCCCGGTTTTGTGGCACTTTCCGACGTTCTGACGTCACAAGCGTCGTCGTCGACTTCGATGTGGGAAATCGTTTTGGCCTTCCGGCCGCGCTTCAGTTTTCCGTGGTGGTGATGGTGGTGTGCACGTTTTCTGAACAAACGGGACCACGAGCGATCATCCCGGAAATTGTCAGCGACGGTCTGTCTGGTTAGTCTGGCCTTCGTCTGGGTGAGCGACCAGAAGAGGAGGACGGTTGCAGTCGTTCTCTAGTACAGATATTTGGCACCGCGAATAACCAAACACCGCCTGGACTCGACCGTGGGAAGGTTGACCGCGTACACTGTGCATGAAACACCTTCCGAATCTAGCCTTCTATTGCTTCATCTTCAAACAGCTGCATAGAGTCGATCAATCTCACCCCGCCGCTTGCGGAGACTCCGCGTTGCCCGCCCCGTCGCTCCCGGGCTGGCTATCTGCTTGGCCGCCTGCGCCCAAGGTCATCGAGTTCAGAATTTTGACGAAGAGAAAGGCGACAGAAAAGCTGCGGTAAATCTCTTCAAGCCACGAAGCGGCCTTGTGTTTTTGAAATTGATCCGACAATGGCGTCTTTGGGAAACTGAACCCACCTTCGCCCTGTTGGTCCTGGAAGGTTATCCCACCTTTCCCTCTCCGCCTCTTGGAGACTTTGCCGTCATCGCCAAGGTGGCCATCATCTCTACCCGAGCCTGACCGATCGGAGCGTTGACCATCTTGCGGGGGAGAAATGCTTCTTGTTAAGTCGTGCCCCTCGACACCGCTTCGGTTTGGGACTCCGCCAATGTCCCCAGTTGCTCCGACGACTTCACTTGTCTCCCGTGCGTGCTCGGTCATGTGGCGCTTGCTGCCCCTCCTGGAACGCTCCTTGGCTTCTTCTGCGACGATGGCGACAGCGGCAAGTCTTACTCGCTGCTTGTCCAGCCTGCTCTTCGTTTGCGACGGTGACAGTGCACCCTCACCACTATCACGAGCACGAGGGCTAACTGCGCCGCCGACGCCGTTGCCAGTGAAAAGGGCCAGCGTGTCGTCGAGATTGTGTCCCAAGATGAACGGGTTCCTGTAGAGTTTTGTGTCTGGAGGGAAGATTTCTGCCAAAACAGATCCAGGGGCCCCGATGAAATCTGTATCTGTCGCCATACGCGCGAGGTAGTTAACGCCTGATGCTGTATGGTGAGCGTCGAGTCCATCATTGGCATTGTTGGACTGGACGATTGTCCCACTCGCGCGGGCTGGTGATATACTCCCCGCTATTGTATCACCATCTGGGTATCCATTCGCCGCGGCTGCTGCCGTTGGTCCGGTCGTTTCCTCATCGTCACCTATTCCCTCTGGGGCACATGTTTCCGGATTAAGGCTGCTCTGCCCAGACACAACGACGGTATCTTGACCGCTTTCACCGCCGTTTGCTCGGGATGGGAACCACAGAAAAGTAGGCATGTCTTCATCGTCGGTAGACATGGGACGAGCCGTCGGTAGAACAGGAAATCGGATCTCTGGCAATGATCCCGCTCTCTCTATGTGCTCTGGCCTACCATGCGGCAATTTCCGGGATGATCCCTCTTTGTCGCTACCGGCTTCGGGCGAGCTTGCTTGCGACGGTTGTTCGTTGCTGTAGCCACTTTGACTTCTGCCCTTCAGCTCTCTCTGCCGTGCTTTACGCCACGCTTGGACTATTTCGACCACGCAAAGAGAGGCCTCTCTGAGGTATCCGACGACTCCCTGGACTTCGCGAATGCTAGGGCCTTGAAACATGCGCGCAGAGGCTAGCGGTGGTGACATCACCGATGGTAGCGGGCTGAGGTGATGATTGCCATTGGCGGCACCTGATGACTCGATGGTCGTTGGTGATTCCGGGCTACCGGTACTCTCGGGAGGAAAGAGAACGCCACGCAGCCCCCCCAGGAAGGTCTCTCTCTCTTGCACCTGGTTCCATAAGGAGGGCGTCCCGTTGGTGTGTATCATCCTACAATTCTCTTGAGTGATCTCTGATGCGCACATGACGCCAAAAAGTTTCTACAGCTGCCCTTTGACCCTGCGACATCAAGTAGCTACAATGAGCTTGCTTCCACCATTTGTTTTCCTGCAAGTGAGGCCCAATTCACAGCAAGCCCACGGGAATTCAAATTTAGATTCCTGTTGTTGGCGTGAAATTAAATAGCCGCAAAGCGTTCCACTGTGCATTGGAGACAGCAGGAGTACAATACAATAGCGCGGCAGCGGATGAACAGCGGTGAAAATGATCCTCTACGGACACTTCAAAACCCTAACGGGCAAGTAGGCGTTCTAGGTCTTGGAACCTACGAACCTTCTGGTTCGCTTCATCTCTTAGTTCGGAGACCAGTTGAGGCCTCGTTGTCGGGGAGAACATAACTCGTTGCTGCCACTATTGCTGGTGTCTCATGGGATGAGCAGACGGCCGGCCAGACACCGCGCTGGGCCCTTGCTGTGAGTTACTAGTCTGCATAGTAGCACAAAACGCCATGCGCCGCCCGTGCCGACTTTTCCTTCGCCCACCCTCTATCCCTCCCTCCCTCTCTCTCTCTTCCTCGGTTGTGTGTGTGTTCGGAGCTTGAGAGTGGGTTAGCTGTCAGCTACAAGCTAGGTGTAGGTGCCTAAGCAACGGCTGCAGCAGCGTCCTGCGTGCGAAGGGACACACGACCAAGATGCCCCGCATCTGTGCCGAACCGGCACGAAAACCCGCGCTCACACCGCGACTGAGATATGGATGGAGAGTGCAGCAGTCAGTGGCAAAGGAGTCCACCAACGTGCGCACAACGTCGAAGGCACCCGCGAGGGTTACGGTGGAGAACGGGTGGGAGCAACTTCGGCAACCGTGTACTTTTCCTAGGGAGGGGGAGACGATGAGTGCGGTGCGCGCCGCGCTGGGGAAGGCACGTATTGGAATGGTTCCGCCAGGCGCTTCTACTCCTGCCCAACTGCTCAGAGCCAGAACATTCTCGAGCGCACCTGATGGTATGCATAATGAGCAAAGGAGTGCCAACGAAAGTTACGCATGACTGCGAGATTTCTGTATACTTTCTACGTAGATTCAATGAATCGGCGTGGCACTCCTCCCAGCAGCGGACAGACGTGGTATAGGTTCCAACGTTTTTTTTGCACTCCTACGATATGAATACCAGATTCAATGCGCGCCCTTGTGTCGGTGTGTGCAAGTGGTACAGCTCAGGTTTTGCACACGTGCGTAGATAGTATGCATCATCCTTAATAGGCAAGCCGGCACTCCGCTGCTAGCGACCAGCTCAGTTCTACCGCCCTCCTCCAAACTCAAATCCGAGGTTGTGCCGCGTTTCTTGCTCGCCTTGGCAGCCGTGGGACTGCTGTTAACTTCCGTATGCGTACAATGGCGGAGGAATAGCAGATGGTTCTGTACAAACCTCCATCGCCGGCTGAAGTTCTTGCGGCACCAACGCCCCAAAGTACCTGACTTAATGCTGTGAAACATTTGCCATCACAGTATAGCGCACGTTAAGCTACGCTGGTCTATCGCTGCATCACCCATATGTCCATGCCCTACCACAACAGCGCCGGCGGCGGATTAGCACGATGCGGGGTGTTTTGAGAACGAACACGAACCAGAGACATGACTCCTACTGTAGATCGTGCAGACATTCACCACTGAGTCCCGTCCAACAATAACGCTGCCCTTCTCGATATTGCACTCTTCTCACTGTGATAGCACGGGAGACAAAAAGTGGACCCCACGACCTCTGCTGTGCTGTGCTTCACTACGGGTCGGTACAGGGTTAGCGGGTTTTATTTTTGCAGTTCAGTGTACAAACTTTCGGACGTGCACCCCCTTGCACATCCAACTCTGGCAGGTCGACAACCAAAAAACGAGAAACTTTCCGTTGTGCAGCAAAGTAGCACGGAAAAATTTCGGATAGAGAGCGTTTCAAAGGCACCACCGGAAACAATGTACCTACAGAATCTGCACGGACAACGAGTCCAAACCACCGGAGTATCTCGTATCGGCGTGCAACCAATCAAACGAAACAGAAATCGGCTCTGGTGCAAGCACAAGCACGGTTTCGTGTGCGATGAGGCGACGGCGGGAACTTCTCACTTCGATGGCACTGACGAGAAAGTGGCCTCAAAATGCATCTCTTATGTCGTTATGCGAATCGTCTGCAAGACTTTCAACAACCCCATACCACATCTATACATAACCCCATACATCTGCGGTGATCCCAACGCACTTCTTCCAGTTGTTTCCCGCTTTCATTGTTTCTCGTCCGCGTTTCTCATGCTCTCTACCGCTCTTCCCGACGTTGAACAACTTTTTATTTTTTCTTGTGTTTCTTGTCGTTCCCGTTTTTGTTTTATCCGCCATCTAGACATGCTGCTCGCAACTCCCGCGCCCGAGACCAGCAATCCGCGACAAGGCCACGGGGCTTTCGACACGTACCGTTTCGTGACGGAGCTGGAGCGAGCTGGAGTTCCAAAGGGGCAGGCGGTTATGATTATGGAGCAGGTGCTGTTGGCCATCAGCGAGGCAAACACTCGTCAGATTGCGCTGGTGAGAAAAGGAGGAGTCGTGCCGGGGATGCTTCGCGTGGTATTTGCACCATTGTTGTCGTCTCTTTCAGTTTTTGTTGTCGTTGAGGTTTCGAATGCGGAAAATCATGGCGGTGGAGCAACACTTGCTGTTGGTCGTAGACGGAACACGCAGTTGGGAGGTCGCTCTGACGCGTGTTTAAGGGGTGGGAATTCGTTTGGTGACGGAGGTTTTTGGGGTGCAGTCCATGCACATTGTATGAGACTGAAATCGATTTTGTACAACACTTGATGCGTGACGGACAAGCAGGACTCAGGAACGTACGGCAGAGTGATGTCTGCTTTGCAATCGGTATCATACAACATAGCGGTGGCACCTTGGGGATTCGGGTCCCAAGACGGGCACCCTATTTGATGCTGGTTTGCCCAATCAAGCCACACCCTTCGGTGTAGGCAGGGGCGAAGGGAATGACCTAGACAGACAAGAGTTCCGATCGCGCAAGTACCGCATTAGGCCAGCGGTTTGTTTTGGTATAGCCATTGTCGTGTCATCTTGTTATTTTTCGTCATCCCATTTGTTACCCATCGCTCGCCGTGTGCACCGGCGTTGCTTCTCTATGTCATGACCGCCCCCGGGTCATAAGCTCGAGGAAGGTCGGCGACCCTCTTCCCCTCAACAGCGAACACATGTACAGGCGCGTTTCTTCAGTGCCCGGCACATGAAATCCCAGTAAACTCGCCTTTGCCGGTATTCGAACTCACGTCCCGACCGCAATGTAGACGGTTTTCGAGGTGACCAAGTACACTCCAACGGCCGCGTCGAACCGGCGTTTTGGTATGTCGGGGTCGTTTTCAGGTGGCGACGAAGCAGGACCTGCTCAGCCTGCAATCTGAAATCAACGAGAAGGTCTTTTCTTCCACTCTGCGATACGGTGAGATGCTATTCTTGTGCGTTTGTGTGTGCGTATGTTTTTTTTCAATCGTGGCTTCGAATCAAATAACTATTGAGACCCAGCAGCCCCGAGTATCCAGTCGGAAACCATCCGGAGAGTACTCGTTGGCCGTTGTGGATGTGTTTCAGGTGAGTGTTGATGTTGGCGTATTTGCAATGAGTTTTCTCGAACCGAAGGTGTTAGCACTAAGTCTCCCCTGTCTCGAGTCTCAATAAGCTACATCTGTATTTGTTGTTTGGTCAGCAGCATAGGAGAGGTACCCCTCACAAGGAGCGTATGTTGGCATGGGAAAGAACGGGGCACGATGCGTGCAAATTTGGCGTGGCGGAGGGCGCTTAGGCTCAGAACAACGTTTTTTTGTTACGGTTTCCTGATCTTGCCGCCCCCGGGGGAGACGTCGCGTAGTGGCATTGGTAAAGAATAGTGCGTATAGATCGGAACATGTTTCGGTTGGAAGACATGCACTCTTCTCGCCATCTCTGTTAGCTATTAATAGACCCATTGTTGGCAGTGGTGGCAGACACCTTTATATTCCGTAACACATAGCAACATCACAGAAGAACTACCGCTCGCCCCAGACCGGACTGAAGGGGAGGTTTTAACGTCCTTTCGAAAAAGATTCAGTAACACGCCGGCGGCACACAAAACACCCACCAGGTATGCAGGTCAGAGTGAAAATGACCTCCTCCCCTTGCAAGTCTTGGCTAGACCAACGGAATAGATCGTGTTCTATAAAACAGTGGCCTTCTTCAAGAACACTATTTAGTCATTCCCTGGCCTCATCGGGTGAATATTTTCCCCTTTCGTCCTCTTGCTGCCTCGCGCGCGTGCGGGGCAGACCTCGCCCAACGGCACCTGAAGGAGCTGATGCAGAGGGACCTGATGCAGGTCAAGGCCGACGTTCGCTCGGAGGAGAAGTTCGATTTTGCTAAGCTTCACGACGAGATTACCGAGCTGGAGAAGCGGGTGAGTTTCGACGACACCACCCGCAGTATGGGCGAAAGGCCGCTCTCCACCGAGAGCAAGTTATCCTTGTTGTTGTTGTTGTTGTTGTTGTTGTTGATGTTATCGTTGTTGTTGCTGCTTCTATGAGTGTTTATGCGATCTCTTGTTGTAGTCACAGTTACCCCAAGCACTGAAGCTGCCCGTGTTTGTGTAATTTGCAGCGTATAGGAGCATTCGTCCACCTCGAGAAGGGTCGGTTAAGGGTCGAATCACTCACGCTAGCGCCAAAATGCTACATACGTTAGATACCAACCACTCTGCCCAAACAAATGCTTACAACGGCCCCGCGCCCGCTCAGGTCGCCCAGCAGCGCTGAAACTTGTTTGTGGCTTCGGACACCAGATATTTAGCGTAGCGTCTACCCGGGGGTTGGCAGTCGTTACCCATTGCTCGCACAACCCACGCGGGGACGACAACCGAACTAGAAGCCTTGTAGGTTGTCTCACTGCTCCTGGCTATGTACCGCCCGTGTTATTACATAAGGTTGTGTTGTATCGTATTGCCTCATGCTCGTCTTCTTCTGGCCCATCTCGAAAGCGACCCGTGGGCGTGAGCCGCGGACTCGGAGAGATGGGAAGAAGTGGGCCGCGATGGGAATTCGCCGTTCAGCGTGAGCGAAGTCCCTTCCCCCGCTGTTGGCGGTCGCTCAGCTCCCCATGAAGTCCGAGGTGGTTAGCAGGGCTTGACGGGTATCAGCTATTGGAATAGGTGCCCCCCATTAATGATTCTGCGTCCCCCCCCCCCCTTATTTTCAGGTTTTCCAGCGACGAGAAACCGACGAGGTTCGCTTCACGCAGGTGCATACCGAAATCGCGGCCCTGGAGCGACGAGTCATCCTACAGTACGGGATCGGGTTCTTTGGCAGCGTCATCGCCATGGGATTGGCTGTCGCTCGCATCGCCGCCTTGCAATCGTGATAGTATCCTAGGTGGTGCGGGGCGTACAATGCGTCATGCCAGCATCGTCAGGTCGATTTTTGTTGATCGAGGGAGAGCTGGTGTTTGATTTCGCAGCTCGAACTGTTCCGAAAAAAAAAAAAAAAAACTTGATTGTTGCGGTACAGGGAGTACATACACCCTCCTTTGTTGGGTGAGTTATGTACGAAGCGATTTGGTTGCCCTAGGAGGATCGTTCCCTCTCTCCCGTTTTTGTCATTTGGGCCCTGTACACGTGAACCCGTCTTCTTGTTGTGATTTCTTCCCGAGTTTGCCATTCGCTTCTAGTGTACAGAGCTCCCGGCCCTCTCGTAGGGTTGTAGGTGCTACAGTTTTGAATCCCCTTTGAAAGAAGATGGTTACTTGGCCGTCGATGCCGTTGTAATTCTCTGCCCGTTCTATGGCGGTTAAGAACTTCTCTCTACACATTACACATTACACATTACACATTACACATGAAGTCTGTCAATGTCGTGGGGCTTGAAATTGTTTGCTCTCCAGTGGACGCCGGTTTGCCACCGAATTGGGGTATTTCCGGGGTCGCTCACGATTCCCCGTACTACCTTTTACGGAGATTCGGCCCCAACTTCAATCGTCTCTCGGAAAGGCAGCAGACGGGCACAGGTGTGCTTGTACTACAATGTATCTTTTGCGGAGATTTGGCCCCAACTTCAATCGCCTCTCCGAAAGGCCGCAGACGGGCACAGGTGTGCTTGCTGGTAAAGAGCCTTGTCCGCAGCGCTGCAGATAGAGTTTGGGAATTTGTTGACGCACGTAACAGTCGCCGGAAAAGTTGCAAGATGACATCTTTGAGCCGGGCCATGGGGTGGGGTGGCTCTACGCCCCCTCCTCCTCCGAAAGGAACATTTCAAGCCAGGGCTTACCCTACCAAGGCCTTAGAGCAAGACCTTCGCCTTGTGGTATTCATTCTTTTGAGGGGGGCCCGTGGAATCGCCGTCAGTGTTGACTACTCACTGGAAGGTACACGAGCAAGCGGCTAGGAGGTCCAGTTCGGTTTCTGCCCCAGCTAAGAGGGCGGTATAAGAGAGGACTCTCCCGTGCACATTCTAGGTCGGTTTCATCTAGTCTTGGCTTTACGCTGAGGAGCGCTCACGATGACAGCGCCCGACGGCTTTGCTTGTTGGGGCTCGTGGTAGACACGTGCGGGAAAGGCAATCCCACGTGCTGAGGAACAGCAGTGTGACGTTCGGAAAAGTCAACGAGCCTCGCAAGGGACGGTTTGACACTTCTGGCGCATGCATGTGTTGCAGCAGCGGGAAGTAGTACGAGAGCGTGGTTGTATCACCATCCTTCTTTCCGGCCGTGTTGGCCGAATACTAATTTGTTTTTCAAACGTTTCGTCACGGTACACTGTACGGCAGTAGCAGTACCGGCCGAACTCGCTTGAATTGATCCACTTGTACATTGCCCTGGTGTTCTTTTATGTGGATGAGGAAGAGGCGCATATTGCAGTTGTTGATTCCCGTAGTTATTGCTGCAAATATTGGCCACCCAAGGATTTTTGGCCAATCGGAAACGACCCGCACAGGTGTTTGCTGACCGATAGTTTACTCGGAAACGTCTACTGGGCGGATACATTTTCGGTGGTATTGCCGCGTTTGCAAATTATTTTTTTTGAAGGTAGACGATATTTGCGTTTTTCGGCGAAAACGAATTTGGCGAAGGCGGTCAAACAAAAAAACGGCGGCATGCCGACGGTATACCCGTACCACTGTTCACCATGGCGGCATGGTCACGGAGGTAGAGTGGCCGCGCAAGCCTTTGGAGCTTTTTCTCCGAGGAATTGAGGGATGTGGCTTCGCGACAGTTTTCATAGCACAGGATGCAGTCGAAAGGCTCGTTGTCTCCTACAGCAAAACAACAGCAGTACCGGCGACAAAGAGGTACAACGAAGGTTTCGTACAAGAGAGCGAGCCTACGCTCTCATCTCTCCCTCGAAGGGATGGCACCAAAAAACGAATCAATCCTCTCCACATTTCAAGCGGAACATCAAATGGTTTGATCACATGTGCTGCATGCACGGGTTTTGTCGGTGTTGGAACTCTGTGGTCATTCCGGTCACCGCGATCGCCAGCTTCTACTTCAGTAGAACCCCCTTCCATACTTGAAGCTTTTCCTCTCTCTGATCAACGTGCCTTCGACCTGGGGTAATTGCCGACAGAAGTTCTCTCCCCACAAGGTCCCCGAACACGCCTTTAGCGATGTTGGGCGGAGCGTACCATAGGTGACATGACGAAAGATACCACATCCCCAGGGTCGATTTTCAAAGCTCGATTACTTTACAACGAGGAGGATGCCAACATCGAATGATATGTTTTAGGAAATCTCTCGACGTGAAGGTCCCAACAACATCATGTTCAGCACAATCAGCCTTTGCGCTGCAGAGCGTAATCGGGGATCTTTCATAAAAAATAGGTCCGGGGTGTGTGATATCTTGTGCAACCTACGGTATACATACCGCTGCTGACCATCTCGCTGACGCACGCGATCTACCTGGTTCCGTTCATTATGTCCCCGCCTTCGCAACCTCCCTTGCCCACCGCTACCCCCAAACCGCAGCGTAACAGAACACACTTTGTAGTGAGCGACACGCCCCCTTGTTCGGGGGGGGCTATCTAAAGTACCCGAGGATGGCGTGGTCTACAGAAGAGAGTAAGGAAGGAGCCCGAGAAAACTACTAAACTCCTGCCCCATGTACGCGCATCTCAACGTTACCACCCACAACCAAACCACGCTGGAAACTGCATGCCTGATGAGCTGTACTCCTGACCCATGCAGGCGCATCTCAATGTTACCACCAAAAACCAAACCACCATGGAAATTTCATGCCTGACAAAGCCTTGCACGGCCATGCCGCGTGGAAGACAAGCATGCATACGTATATACAGTAGTAACGTGGGAACCTGAACCCCGCCGGAGCTATTCTTCCCTGAAAATACCGTCGCATAGATTCGGAATCTTGTGCCAAGAAAGGTTCGTTCAACCGAAAACAACCAAAACAAATCAACAAACCCTACAATAAGATCTGCAAACACAGCCCTTCGCCGCCTGCGAGCTCCTGGGACACGAATGTGCGAAGGGGTCCTGCCTCAACACAAAGCTGATGATGGTTCAGCTGACCTGTCAACAACATCCACTGCAAACACAGGGACTAGATCGTGCTGATGTCATACTGAAGTCGCTCTTGGACAGAGTTTGGCCACGGACATCATCAACAGCAATCATGCTGCTGATGCCTTGCTGAAGTCGATTTTGGACAGGGCATGGGCACGGACATCGACAACAAAAAATCATGCTGATGATGCCTTGCTGAACTCGCTCTTGGACACCTCCACCTGGTCCCCGTGCAGCTCGTACACGTACGTGACGCACTTGGCGCCCTGCACCGCGAGCAGGATGAAGCTCGGCACGGCGTCCGACTCCACGGCGGAGTACGCCCCTGTGATCGACCCAGGGTTGATGAACCACCGGCCACCGAACTCGTTGACCTGATTCCGGTGCGTGTGTCCCGAGATGAGGATGTCGGCGCCCAGCTGGCGCTGCGTCATCGCCAGCGCGTTAGGGTCTCCCCAGGGCACGATCTGGTGCCCGTGGGTGAGGCCTACCCGGAACTGGCCAATCTGGACGACTTTCGTCTCTGGGAAGGTGGTGGACTCTTCGAAGTCACCCCGCACCACGTGCACGTTAGGCGCTAATCTGTGGAGGGGAGGGGAGGGGAGGGAGGGCGTCTTCCTCAAACTGCTTGCCTTTATGCGCCAGTTGACCTGTATCGGCACAGAGCGTCAGCGTTCCTACCTCTGCTCGAAACAAGGCCCCGACAAAATGCACGCCTGGAGTCTGCGACAGCGCGCACAAACAAATCTTGCTCATGCGCTTTTCGTGGGTTCAAGAGAGGGTGGCGTGGTTTGGTGCGAAATCTCTCCAACAGCGTGACCGATACTGTTGCTGCAGCAGCACGTGGCTAGCTGGCGAGGTCAGAGAAGCGGGAAGGGCTCCAAATCTTGTTTCATGCGGTCTTCAAGCAATCGTTTCAACCCCAGTGTGACCTCTCTCAAAGCGCCTGATGCTCCTTTTTCATCGTCCCGGGAATCGCGTTGGCTTTCTACTTCATTCAAGGATGTCCCAGTGCAACTTGAGGGGGCTCGCACAGCAATCGACGTGTCGTGGCTCTGCCAAAAAATAATCTCCGGAGGGTTCCGTAAACCTCTTGGAGGAAAGTCATGCCGCTGCCGGCTTTGAACTACCGCAAGCTCAGCAGCAGCGTGCTTTGTTCTTTCTCGAGCAGGATGCAATCAAGGAATGCTCACGTTCGCAAGTCGTTGTACTGGTCCTTCCCCACCAGGTTCCCCGTGCATAGGACGTGCTGCATCTTGTTGGGCACGAGCATCTTCTTGAACTTCTCCGGGATAGCGGCCTCTCGGTGTGGGATGTGCATGTCTCCCAGTACCAGCACCAGTTCCCCGAAATCCCCCGCCATTTTTCTCTAAACGACGAACCACCTTGAGAGAGACGAGCGGGATGCCGCAAAGCAGGGGAATGTATTAGCCGTAGCAACCACTGGCGACATGTACAGCTAGTGCCCGCACTTAAGAATCTCTAGTTTGTGGTCGAGGCTGGGGATGTTAGTTCCTCCTACATTACTGCTGTACATATGTTATGCTACAAATGGCCGCTAAAGTAGGTTTTAGTGTTCTGGTGTACTTGGAAGTCACAAATTCAGCTCGACAAACTCAAATTCGAAGAACTTGAGCACCATCTTTTTAGCCCTTTACACGAGTTACAACTGCTGTTAACGGCCAACTGTATAACAAGCTGCGGCATCGTGTGTAATCAGCATGCTACAGGGGCACAGCAGTCCGTAGATTGTAGACGGGGTGCACTCAGAGAGACAAGGAGGGCCGGGAGGTTGCCTCAACAAGGGGTCACCGCGCGGGAGGCTGCGTTGGGCTTTCAAGACCGACACCAAGTGTTCACCGCAAATACGTTTGATTAGCTCTTGGGTGCTGCCCCAGCAGCTGCAGAAATATTGTAAGTCTGTAGTCATGGCAGGGACAAACGCATCCCAAGGTGCAGGTACACTGCGCTACAGCTGTGCTGTGTAAGCTGGTGTGTCTGCGTGCACGACTAGAACAGTGTTGCCACACAGCATGACATGTCGTGAAAAGAACCCCTAAACCACAGACAGCACTGCACGACTGTACGCCGTTTATCGCCGGAGCACGCGAGCGCGGTTTGTGTGTGTGTTGTCTTTACACGTTGACTCTCTCCTCTCTCTGAGCACGCGTTAGCACGCGGAGCAATTCCATCTGTAATCACGCCGCATCCTACCCATATTGACGAACAATGCCTTGCTCCTCTCTCCTCACAGCAGTAAACGGCTATTGCTAGCACCTTATCGTTGATCCGAGGATGCTAGGGTGGAACAGCATACAACACGATACACCTGACTTGTTCGGGTGACTACTGCTGCTGCTGGGTTGCCGCCTAGTGTAGCTAGCTTGCCTGGGAGCAGTATTGTCACCTGTGAAGCTCTCCAGGCACTACCGTTCTCTCCACTGAAGCTAGCACCAGTGGGGTAGCGAATACGGCGTGCGCCCAGCCTAGTGCGAGGAGACTCTCACAATACAAGGTAACAGGAGGTAGCAGATGTGAAGAGGTGCAGAGTGGAGTGTGTGACAGGCTGCGTAGCCCAGTCCAGCCCAGCAGTGTCGGCGAGGCTTGCTTCATCCCGCGGCGCCCCCTGATCGCGACATTCCTTGGGTGACACATGCTGCATGTGCAAGCACAAGCTCCCATCACTCTGCAATCATCACCAGCGCGCAGCACACAACGCAGTTGGGAAAAATTGCCCAGGGATGTCTTGATCGAATCCGAGGGAGGGAGGCTCTGAACGACCGGGACGCATCAAATTGTCCCGGGAGGCAATACCAGACGGTGAGTGAGGGACCTTCTCGAGTACCGCAAGCCTGTCTGCCGAGAGGGAAACATAGTCTAGATGCGCATCAGACATTTCTCCTGTTTTCCCCATGTAGCATGTCTCTGAACTGGGTAGCCAAGACCGTTGGGCATTCTCGCTCTAGAACGAACCACAGGTGTTGAAGAAAGTATTGATATTGCACAAAAAGAACCGCTTGCGGACGAGAACCAGTGGTGATCGTATCTCTGCCTTATTTGCGACGTCGTTCTGTTCTTTTTTCCCTTAAGAACATCGGCCTGACCCAAACGCCGTTGATATACTGTATGCCCACCTTTTGTCCAGCCCCCCGCCCTCCTCATTCCCCCCGAGGATGAACACGGCCCAGTCAACATGGCATAAGACCCCTGCATGGATGTTTGTGTTGTTTCGACGGTAATCATCTTCGCATCGAAAATGGGTTTTGATCGTTATACCTCGAGGTATGGCATATCGAAGGTCGGAGGTGGTGGCAGGATAAGGTGCAGATGAAACACGTCCATTGTACTCATTCCAGATTCGACTATCTTGAGGAGAGTTCAAACTGACGGTTCGCAGCCCCGAAGATACTTGCCATTCGACGAAAACGATCGGGGCATACTCGCCGCTCACGCCCCAACGCTCCGTCCGTGCCGAACCTTTACCCGCCGCACCCAAACTCCTTTCTAAGAGCTTGCCTCAGCTCTGATACCTGCATTTATCGTCGGTGATTGGACGTACCTGCCATGCCCATTACAAGTCCTGACCTGTACATGTGTAGATGGTGCGTGTCTGAGGCCAAAAGGAGTTGGGACACAGACCTAGCTACTCCTCCGAGTGATGAAAGCAACGTGACTGGCCATCGTGAGTCAAGCTGAAGGATGACCTCCTCATCGTCAGACATGTTTCAGACATTTTATTTGACAAGCCCATGTTCAGGTCGACAAACCTGACGAAGACATGCGTTGAACTAACACCGGGGTTTTCACCTCCGCACGCCGAACACTCCTTGAAAATCGCCGGAATGAGCGCCATTATCGAAAATTAGGCCCCGGGAACACCGCGAAAGAAAGGAAACTTCTCCTTCCGTGAACCATGTTGAGTCCACTCGAATATTTAAGGGGTTGGAGACAAGGACGAAACATCGATTTAGAGGTACTCCGGAGTACGCCTTTAGAGGGACAAACAAATCGAAAATGATCCGGTTTCGGAGGCTTTCCGCGTACCAATCTGGCATGCTCTACAGCACCAGCAGAGGACATCAGGCAGTAGCGACGTGGGCTCAGGGCCGTGCTGGGGTCGGGACATCGGAGGCTACGGTTGGGTTCAAACCTCCATAAATCAGACCAAACATGCCACACTCCTGGCTCGCCACGACGAGCCCCAACCCCTGAACTGCGGGTCATCCAAGGAAGCTGTGGTATGAGGTGTAGCGGTAGACACGTAAATCCGGGGATTGCGCCTGCGAAGGCGAGCACTGCCGTGAAAGATGAATGCTTTGGGCCCAAAAGTTGCAGACATTTCGAGCCGCAGCTGCAGCCATAAACAGCACAGACCGATCAGACCTGAGCATGCCAGCACACAAATTCATGCTCCATGAATTCTGCAACTGTTGTGGCATATAGGTTAGGCTCCGAAAACGCAAAGGCCTCCTCCTTCAACACCAACTTTTTCTCACTGTGTAGTCTTGACGCTTGCATTGCGGAAGTTTTGTCTTGGTTTGAGGGTGTGTGCGGATGTACACTGCACGGCATGCTGGCGGAGACGGACCCAGCAGCTGCTCTGTGCGACAACAAACGAGTGTTTCCCGCTCAACGCTTTCCAACTGGTCTGGTGTATATCATGCATTTCCGGGCGGTCTTTCGGTCGGTATAATGCCGTCAATCCCATAAGGCAAGTCCGTTGGGCCATATTGTGCTCCGAGGAAACGAAAATTGCGTCTCTTGGCTGCACACCTCTTCGTCTGGACGACGAGAAAACTGTGCGGTGTCGAGGATGGAATTCTCTATTATTATTTAGTACAACAATCTTGATATGTCCACCCCATTTGTGCCGTGTCCTTGTAGGAGATGCTGGCTGTGTATCGGATGCATTTGCTCCATCAAAGCCGGCGTATGCATGATTTTTGTACACATTCGCAGCAGTTAAAGCGATGATGTTCACGCTCAGTGCCTACGACTGAATCTTTCGATTACTCACGTCAGTATCTGCCCGTTCTCTCTCGGCTTGCGCCACCACCAGCAGTTGCGAATATCGTTTCTTCAGCTGGTGTTGCGGCAGCAACAGATGGTTGCCGATATCAGCGATTCTGCAGCAGAGGCCGCAAGACTCGCGCTGGAGATCGGTTCAACCATCTCCGATGCAGTGTCTTGCGCGGTGGACTTGGGTGAGGAGCTTCCTGTCATCAAGCCGGTTTTTAAAACTCTCAAGGCCATCCGCACGACGGTCGAGACGGTGAAAAACAATCGGGAGGAGCTGGCTGCACTCGAACAGAGGTGCACCTACATTACGGCATGTTTTGTCGTGAAGTGCAGGCTAATCGAAAGCGAGGTGGATGTGGCTCCCCTCAAGGACTGCGTCGAGGCGGCGAAGAACTTTGCCGAGCGTTGTAGCCGGAGGGGCAAGGTGTCGAGAGTGATAAAGGCCTTTAGCGACAAGAGTGAGATTGCCGGTCTGAACTCAAGCGTCGACCGCCTGACGACCGACTTGGGACTGGCCGGGATTGCGGTTCTTGAAGGGAAAGTGGACGACATGAAGAAAACGCTGGTGAGTCTTCAAACAGTTCGCTCCTGCGAGCGGAACTCTCCTCTGCATTCGCCTTGAAGCGCTCCGCTCTCTTAGCTGCTGGCCACTCTTTTCTCTTAATTTTCGCCGGGAGGGCCTCGCGTTCGGAAATTCGTGCCACTTGCGTATTTTGCTTGCCATTCTGGGGGATTGTTTTTCAGCCGAACGTTTCGCTCCTTTTAACGGGGCACCCACGGGAAACACACTGAACATCACACATCTCGATCGACATTATGCTAATATGTGCTGCGATGATAAAATAATACATGGTATCGTATCATTACATTGCATGCGCCGCATCAGGGCGTTGCGTTCTTTGACTGTCCATCAAGAATTACGTATTAAGAGCTACGACTTTTTCGTTCAAATGATATTTCTTCGTCGCTTTGAACACTTGATGCGGTATTGCAGGCGGGTTTCCATGTATCTACCTCTCACGCACTTTGCATCTCGTGTATCTCCAGGATCGCATAGACCAAAGGCTGGAGAGTCTACCAAGGTCATTCGGCAAGCTAGCCGCGGTGCCAATGGGGGCGCCGGTACGCAAGAGCTGGCACGTGGAACGTCGGCACGCGATGGCGACGGTGCTCGACGCGCTCAATGGTAGTGACAGAGCGTGTGTGGTTGCATTAGCGGGCTACAGCGGGTCCGGCAAGACCACCGTCGCGGCCGAGATCGTTAGGAGTACGGAGGTGCGAGAGGCCTTCTCCGACGGTATCGTGTGGTTGCCGGTGAACGAGGGAGCAAAGAAGCGCCTCCCGTCCTTGATGCTGCAGCTGGCCCGCATGGTTCATGAAGAGATTGGTGGTAGCGTAGGCCGTGTACCCAGCGCGTCTGAAGACAGTGCGACCTACATCAAACAACGGCTCGAGGAAGGGCACAAGGGCAGAAGATTGAAGTGCCTCGTAGTGGCGGACAACGTGTGGGAGGAGGACGTTGTCTCGAAACTCGTGGAAACGGGCATGTGGGTCCTCCTGTCAACCCGTGATGAGGCGGTCGTGAAGCGTTCACGAGGCAAGGCTGTGGTAGTTGACGAGCTGTCCCAGGCAGATGCGGAGTCGGTGCTGAAGAGAGCGGCAGAACTTCCCCGCGAATCCCGCTTGCCCGACGATGCTGTTGACCTGATCAAGTTGTGCGGCCGCGTGGCGATGGACGTCGCGTTCGTGGGGCGATGGAGTACAGTTCGCGGCAGGCATGACCCAGCGTCTTGGTCGGATGCGGCCAGCACGATTCGCACTGAGATGGAGAAGGTGGGACATGATCCCGACAACGATAGCGCAGAAAACATTCCAGCGAAAAGACGGAAAGCCATTCTTCAGGGTGGGTTCGAGGATCTTGCCATTGGATCGGACGACGAGCGTGTACAACGGTTGTACCTGTCGCTCGCGGTGATGCCGGATGGCCATGCTTTCTCATTGAAAGACGCCGCGGTGCTGCTTTACGATCGGTCGCCCAGCACGGAGGACGAAGCATCTGCAGGGGGCGTAGTAGACGTTTTAGAGCGATGGTCGATCATCCGCTCGGCACAAGGGACGTACCGAATGCATGATGCCCACACCGACTTTGCGAGGGAGTGTCTTCTGGACCGTGGGCATGTGCGCCGGCCTGCTTTGAAGAGGTGGACGAGGTACCTTTCCTCGCTAGATATCCTCCGTTCCACTGACCGCTACGTTCTGAAGGGTCTATGGCTGGCTATAGAACGCTTGGGTGGAGATGGCTGGGGCAAGACACGCCCATATGAAAAGGCGTTGGGCATGATGTTGGAATCGGACGCCTTGCTCAGAACAACTGCGGAGGCTGTGGGATGGTTTCAAGAAGCACAGGAGGATTTGGAGGGAGCATCCGCTTCGTGGCGCCGACTGCTCGAAGTCGAGAAAAGGGAGCTTGGGGCAGACCACCCGTTCGTGTTAAATACGTACGGGAACCTAGCTATATGGGCAGAGCGATTGGGAAATATCGAAGAGGCTGCGAAATGGCATGAGAAGGAGGTCGAGGGGCTCCCTCTGGCCTTGGCTAGAATGAACGCGCTAGTCCGTTCTGGTCTGGAAGCGGATCTAGATGACGCGGACAGCCTTTCCTCTGTTGCAGCAACCGCTTTGGAGTTCAGACCCGGCGATAGAGCTCTAGCGGAAACGCTTTTAAGGCGGTCTCTGGATGTCAAGGAAGCCATTCTGGGCCCGGAGCATCTCCAGGTGGCTGATACGCTTCGTCAGCTCGGTGTGTCTGCTAGAGAGGCAGGTCGGCTGGACGAGGCGGAGGGATTGCTGAGGCGTTGCCTGACAATAAGGAGAAAGAAGCTGGGGCAGGAGGATATGCAAGTGGCCTGCACGTTGTATGAACTGGGTGCCTGCGTTCGAAAGTCCGGACGGTGGGGCGAGGCGGAAGGATTGCTGAGGAGCTGCCTGGCGATCGAGGAGACCAAGCTGGGACCAGAGGATGTGCAGGTGGCCACCACACTGCAACAGCTCGGTGTGTGTGCTAGAGAGTCGGGGCAGATGGAGCAAGCGGAGGAATTTTTGAGGCGCTGCCTCACCATCAAGGAAAACAAGCTGGGCCCTGAGGATGTTGGGGTCGCGTTTGCGCTGCGCGAGCTTGGCATATGCGTTCGTGAAGCAGAACGATTGGGGGAAGCGGAGGTGTTGTTGAGGCGTTGCCTGGCGATCAGGGAAACCAAGCTGGGCCGAGAAGATGTAAAGGTAGCCTCTACGCTGTACGAGCTGGGCGTATGCCTTCGACAGGGAGGTCGGTTGGAAGAGGCGGAGACATTATTGAGACGCTCTCTGAGCGTGCGGAAGGCAACGCTGGAGTCAGAGGATGCCAACACGCTGTATCAGTTGGGCATATGCGTACGAGAGGCGGGGCGGCTAGCAGAGGCGGAGAGATTGCTGATCGAGGAGGCCAGGCTTGGGCAAAATCATGCCCAGGCGGCCGATACGCTGCACGAGCTTGGTGGGAGTGTTCGTAAATTGGGGGGGCTGCGGGACGCGGAGGCGTTGTTGGACGATTCAGGAAGATCCACGCTGTGTCAGGGCCAACAACGTCCCAGCTGCCCGTGCGTTACATGAGCTGGATCTTGCTATGAATAGACAACGCGACTGAAGCGGGGTAGACACCACGGTTATCTCCGCGTCACGTATCTCGTGTGCTGCTCATACGTTTGCGACATGGGACCATGATTTAGCGTTGAATGCCAATATTTGTTCACGTGAACCTGATTGGAATCTTGCACGACGGGATTGCCAGTCGGTTCGGTAGAATTGTTCGGCTGACCCTCAGGCGGGGATGTACCGAAAAACTACGAGCTACCCCGAAGATAAGTCATGAAGTAACGAGTTACTCCATCCGATTGCGCAAAAGGGTCAGGGAAACCCAAAAACGACAGCAGAACGTACAACAGGTATGTAGAAAATGTGATGGAAGTGTAGGAATCATTGCGGTTCGAGCGGGGAAGGAAAAAAATGCAGACGAGTTGCAGCTGGTTTTGTGTGTTTGGTAGTAGTGAGTCTCGAGGTACGGTGCGGCGGAGAGCAGGAGATAAACGGGGAAGAACCTACGTATCACTTTCGCTCTCTCTCTCTCTGTCTCTCTCTATCTCTCTGGGTTGGCCTCTCGCTCTCTCTCCGACGTGCTTGAAACAAGTGTCGGTGGCATGAGGTGCCAATCAGTTCGGCAACTCGCGCCTATTCTCTTTGGTTCCGAATACCCTCGCTAGCCCCAGGGTCCGCCAAGATTGTGTAATCTTGCCGTTGAAAATCCATCTCTATATGCCGAAGCGCTAAGCATGGGCGTGATTGGGCGTGGAAGCCCCAAGCTTACAAATCAAAACCAAATCGCCACACTTTTCCCGACCCACCCTCCACCGCTACCTCATCGCTCAATGCTTGGTATGTTCTTGCCTACACAGAACCAATTCTAAACGATCTAGTCACCGAGAAGTAGATTCCGAGGGTGGGAAGACTACCCAGTTTCGTTGTTGTTCACGCCGAAAAACTCAGCAACACTTGCAGCAAATCATCGCGAAGCTGCACAGAGTCATCGATCAACGTCATATCCCTAAAAACGTTGTTTCCTCCTAGTTTCCCCCCTACTTTGCCATGGCCGCTTGGGTCATCTCGACGATCAAGGTTTTCACATCTTTCCGGCTTTCGGCCGGCCGCGGGAAGGGCAGCCTGAGCTTGCCGGATTGTCCGTCCGGCATGCCCACAAGCACGTACATGCCCAGTCGATCCACGGCCGTAATCTGGGCCGAAGTCACCTGTGTCGTGGGCGTTAGTCGTGGTTGTGGGCGGGAATGGTGTGGGGTTTGGGTTCAGTGGGGTGGGGAGAGGCAAGGGCGAAGGGTGGTGCTGCATGCCGTTGGCCTCATGCAACAAAGGGCGTCGTTTTTCGAGACAGGGGGCTTCCGTGATTCTACGTGAACGACAGTGCAGGAAGTCCGCTTCTGCCGCGCTCCACTCTCGCCGCCTCTTCGCTTAAGGTCAAAAATACTCACCGCATGACATCGGCCCCTATCGCCATGCAGACTGGAACAGCAACGGGCAAACAGCATCAAACAACAGCTCCCTAAACACAACATCCGCATCGGCATCGGTGTCAACGATATTAGCACTTGCAACGCCGCCTTGTCACCTCCACTCCTCCCGTGATGAAATGCGCGATCATAGCCCTCGTGGTGTCCGAGTGGTCGTCGTTCATGTGCTTGCTGATGGGGGCGGAGAACTCCGCTACGGCATCGGGAGCAGTCGTCAGGTAGTCTGACAAAAGAAGCACATACGATAAGCAAGGCAACGCACAGCTACAGAGAGTCGGTATGCTTGCAGGGTCGGTCCGTGAACACCGACAAGGACGAAGAAACGGGCAAGGGCATGGAACACAAGTCAACAGCGCAGCCGGGATTCGCCACCGCACAAAATCCGACAAAACGCTCTTTTTCAGGTCTCCAAATAACGTATGACGACACCCGCGGCACCGCAATCTCCTGGACCCTCACGCCGACAAACTGATCACCGATCGGCTGATGAAGTACTGTTGATTGTTCCATGCATCATTGGGTAGATGGCTTGCCATACCTGGCGTGAATACCTTGATAGACGATACTTGTGGAAAACTATGCCCCGCTGGGTGGGGGGCGTGATTGACTGATGGCGCATCGGTGATCCGTTTAAGCTCAAACGCGTGCACAGGCCTACAGGCGAGCACTAACCTAGGCTAATGCTCTACGCTACCGCAAACGTTTCGACATCACAGTCCGCGGAGAGTTTACCAGAGATGGTCAAATTATCGGCTAGAAACTTTCAGTGTTGCTTCCTCGGGATCACTTCAGAGAGGGGACACGACGTAAAAAACAATGTAAAATCGTGCCTTCTGGGTTGACGTCTCCCGCCATGGCAAACCCTCCAACAAACCGCATGGCCTTGATAGTGTCCATACGCATGAGTCGGAAGTCGCCGAAGTCCACCCAGTAGGCGTTCGGGTGCTTTTTCTTGTACATCTCGCGAACGCTGGGGAGGTCTTCTTCCGGCACCTGGATTGTCAATCAAAGAACGTCCCACGTGTTGAACCAAATCGAATCAAACGACGAGCCAATTCATGAGTCGGAACGGATCAATGCACACACACTTGTGCAATGAGCGTAGGCCAAAAAATGAACGAAAACACTAGCCTACCCCAGGGGATGCGTCATTTTTTTCAGAACCCAAAGCAATCAGAAAAGCCTCTCCTCCACGAGGCATCTCCCACTTTCGGTTCCCGCAGGGAAATGCCCCAGACACAACGTACAAGCGGCATGCTCCGAAACCAAGGCTACAGCAATGCTTAGATACATGGCAAAAGCACAGGGGTCACTGAGTAACAGCGCCATGTTGGACACATGAGCGCACCTTGTTCACGTCTCCGATCAAGCTCACGCGGCCGTCCGCCGCTCCCTGAGAGCAGTCGAGGGGGAGAAGGCCAAGGCAAACAAGAGAATAGACGGGAAAACAATGATGCTATCGTCGAATGCGTCTCCTCCCAGAGTATTCAAATTCACATGGCATACGGTGGCCGTGACCATGGGGAAGTACAGTAGTGCGATGTGGGGTGTGCCGATCACCAAGCGGTACCCGCACTAGCGTAGGCATCAACGGCACAAACACAAAACAAAAACACCGGCATTCAACGGATCAGGCTGATCAAGGCAGAACGGGTGTTGCGATCTTCACGGTGAATGGCAGATCTCGAGTAGGGGGCACGAAATTTGTATCTATCGGGCAGGCGAGGTCAAGCCAATCTGTGGTTAGTGCGCCTGAACGTTGGAGGCCCGGAAAACCAAAGGCAAGCAACTAGAAGGGAATTTTTATCGGAGACAGAAGAGCTATATACCGAGTAGAGTTATGATGTCGGTGATGTAACGCTGTGGAGACAGTCTGCGGCCAATACCGCCTGTACCAGCAACAGTCAACGCAACGCCAGGCATGAGTGAAACAGCCAACTCAGAGGAAACTCAAATGGAACCAAGTCGTGGCTTCAGCATGACTTACCTTGAAGGTGGCCGCGGTTACCGTGAGGCTGACGCGGGAGTCAGCGGCGAGGTCTCCCGTGTGCGCGCTCATGGAGCTGAACGCGAATAGGGGTCGGCCCTTATCGTCCAGCGAGAACCCCACGACCGAGCCGCTAGGGTACCTAACAAAGGACACCAGGCAAGAAGAGGAAGCAACGCAAGAGAGCAGTAGAGCAGACCAAACCGGGTGCAAAGGAGACCGTCGGAAGGAGCGGGGAGCCATATATATATCGCGAGTTGCCGAAAGCCAGACGCTAAAACCCACGCCAATACAGTACCGAACACAGGTGACGTATGGAAGCGTTGAAACGAAAGCAGGGACCGGCAGAACACGGGAGAATCGGCGGAGATCGAGAGAAGAGCGAGCTACGAGGGCCTGGCGGTAAAAGAGGCGGTCCAATCCCATCGAGAAAATAGCCCTTAGCCAAGCGGCGAGGGTACCCGTTTCAAAGAGAACACGTGGAGTGAAAAGACGCGATCAACGAAAGGGCGCCCCTGAACGAGAAATGGTGTGGTGATCGCGTACACAATACCGTTGAGGCGTCCCTCAGACGGAACCAGGTGACATCCATGGATACGAAGTTGGGCTAGACCGCTAGTAACAATAGTAAAAAAAACAAAAAACTTTGAAGCACAGGGCGCTCACCCTTCGAGCGTCCGGGAGTTGGTGCTGAGCACTCCAAAGCCAGTGCTGTACTGCATTAGGTTTCGGACCTCTTCGAGGAGAGTAACGGCAAAGGAGGAAACAAGATGGCGGGTGTTGCGTGCAGCTGGGTACCGAAACAAGCAGACTCAATGCCTGCATCGAAACACTCCCAACACGAACAATACATTCATGGCGCAGCCTTCAAGCTCTCCATCACGTAGTATTCCAGAAATCATCGACACAAAAACACACATTCGGTGATTACGTTCTTGGCTACAACACTAGAAGAAAACCACCGGGTGCGGAATATATTCTGGGGAGTGTGTTCTTCCTGCTACTTGATCCGAGAGTATCACGTTTTCGGCTCATGTTGAGCCGCAAAACGTTATCTCCGGGTGTGTTACTCTGGAGGACAAGGTATCTATTGTGGGGAAGTTCTCTTTCGTGCGATAAATTGATCATTTAACGTGGCGAGCAATGAACGTCGACTAAAATCCTGTGTCTAGAAACACGGCGGGAAAATCCCCAACCACTTGCACACGAAGCGCGCGCACAAGAGAACACATGGCCAACGGCAAATATCGTTCACATACTATTTTTTCTATTGTGAAGACAACACCAACAGCAACCACTTCCGAGCTACAAAAAGCCGAAAAGCACCAACTTTGGTTTGAATGTAGCACCCACCCTCCGTGTGCGAGAGGCGAGCGGCGGCCTGCTGGTGCTCCTGTATCCTGGCCGCCAGGGCCTCTTGTTCTGGAGACCTCTGCGGCCCGGGGCCGGCGGCGTGTCCGGTGGCCTTCGGAGGGCTGTGTCCGCTTGCTTCACGACGAAAACAGGGGGGGGGGGGCACGATGTCAAAAGTTCTTCTATCGAGAGTAGTGCAGGGTACTATTGAAGTTGCGGTCAAATCGTCTGTAAGTGTGAATGCTAGCTCGTTAGCTCCCATGGCTTGCGCCTCTCCGCTCAACAAATGGAAAAATTGGCACAATATGCCGAAAATGAACCAAGCTTAGCTCTCCTGCTGACGGCAGCTGTTCGCCGCCTGCCGTTGTGGCATGCACCGCTATTAAAAGTGCATACAAAGTACAGCATACAGAGCCAAATGTCCCCCACCCGTCGCTCCCCAGCCCTGCCTGTACATGCCCAGACATCTCCCACTGCGAAATCTACGCTCACCCTCTTCCTTTTTCTCGGTCGCACTTTCGGCGCTGTCGCCTGAAGCTTCCATTCTAAGTCTTCGCTGCTGACCGCTACGACCCGAAGAAGAAAATGAGGGGACACGAGACAAAGATCCCCGTGTTTGGATGCGGTGTGCATTCTGCGCGATCGAGAAGCGCGCGCAGGCTGCAAACAGGAGGTGGGGGGGGGGAGTTGGGGCGGCAGAATTAGGTTTCGTGCGGTTCTTCGGTCATCGTAGGTGATGCCGCCTTAGAAACCTCTTCATAGCGTGGTACTTCGAAGGAGTTTAACAAGTACACCACAACAGGAGTACTAGCGATGCAGCCCGCCGTCCCCGTGCTCTATTCTGCAATGCCATGACAGCTGGTTTTCCCACGAAAACCGGGTCCTCCCTGTTTCAGTCATCTACGAAGAGACACGTTCAGCATCATGTCTTGAATTGCAAAACTAATCGACAGAACTCATCACTCGAAGCCAAGCATCATTCGGGGATCCTCTCGCTTTTATTCCGGCGAGAAAAATTAGCCACAGACACACCAGTGGCCACATTTCGAGGTCTCAACGTCGACGTCGTGTCGATATCCTTGGGATTTAAAATCGTTGCACCGCCAACAAGACGAAAGGTCTTTTCGTGTGTGCAGCCTCCCGAAAACTGTACAAATCGCGAGCCCCGCGCCCATAGTGTCCGAAGGGCTCGATGCCGTTGTATACACTATCGGCGGGGAAAGACGTTTGGTCCCAAATCACGCAGCTCTTGGCGCTGTAGGCTACCCCTGAGGCAAAGGCTCTATGATCTGGAAGAGATTTTCGGCACGCACAAGGACAGAACGGCTCTCGAGCGACGCAGCAACCAAACTACATATTGTGATTCTAGCCTTCCAAGGTACGGCTAAGCCTCGCCTGGAGATGCAGTGAAGGCGCGAGCGCCAGCCAGGAGCAGCGAAGACGCCCCGCAGGTGATGAACGCACGCATCACGAGGCAAGACCTGCGTCGATGGTGAGCCACCGACGACCCGCCGGTCAAGGCGAAACAAGAAAATGAAAATAAATATGCGTAGTGGCCGCGCTAGCAAGAGGGGAGAGAAGGAGGAGGGGCAAGCGCGGAAGTTGGAGAATCACGTTTCATACGTCGCAATTGTGCAGTACTCGGTGGAGCCAAGGGGACTTAAGCGCATCCCAAAGCTACGCAGCCACTGCCGGCCCTCAAGCGGCCAGGTGTCGCAATGCTGGGCAACCAACGGATAAGCTGGTGAGTGCGGGACTTGTGGGGGTGTTTAGAGTTGTACTTTATGTTAGCGCACGGCGACGGTCACGGAGAAAGTAACACATGCATCGGTTGGTGAACGTTATGCGCACAACACACCAGGGTAACGTTAGAGCATCCCAGAGCAGCAGAGAGAAGCACGCAGAAGCGTAGGCGACACGCGGCACAACTTCCCAGCGGGGGGCAGGGTCGGTAGGTTACTGCTTTTGCAGCGGCGGTGTTAGCATGTCAGCAAGATATCTGACTCTCCTTTGCACAGCACCAAGCGCCTTGGGGGGATATACTGTAGTTGCCTTCATCGAAACTGCTTCTTGCCACCGCCACTCGTTGCTTATTTCCTGTTTCTTTCCAGTGTATTCGGGGCCAGTGGGCTTTGGTAGGGCTGCGTCTGTACTCCACACTCCACACGGCAAGAAGGAAGCAAGGCCTGACTGAGCTGGAACGCATCATGCCGGAGAACTTCAACCCCACGCAGACACATTCATTCCACACTTCACCCAGAACAACGACAAACCAGCTGGCCACACACAAGCTTGCATCTGCCAGCAATTCCATGATCTACTCACCGGTGGTAATCAGGCAGACCAGGAACCTCGTTGGTGATGCAGTCGAAGAGCTTCGCCGCTTCGCCACTTCGCCACATGGCAACGGGGAGTTGCACCTCCTCGATGGCGTTTAGCGGGACTGTCATCGCATCAGAGAATCGCGCCCTCTGTCTTGCCCGCTCTCCACCCACCACTCTCTCGAGATCATGGCAAGGGTAGCACGGACGTACAGGAAATACTGGCCCACGGATGCCGTCCTGAAAGGAACGGCGGTGCTAGAAGACCTCATGCTGTGCTCGTTTTCCACCAAGGATCTCTTGGCAGGGTGGGATGTCACCACCGACCAGAGCTGGGGCGGCAAGTAAGAAGACCTCGCAATGGAGAGGCTTGCTTTCAACCTGACGTCGGATGCCGTGGCGCCAGAATAGACTGCTGTTGTAGACAACGAAGTGTATTGGTTGTGAATGTGTCAGGGCGCGGGCACAGCAGTGTTTTATTTCGTTATTTTCCAAGAAACGGAGGAGGTCGCACGTTGAAACAAACAGTAAGCGGCGGCCAGGGTGCGGTGCTATGCACTTGTATTGTTGTAGTCGAATGTATGTTCCGTGTGCATCCATGGTGCATGTGGATCCATTGTTTTCCGTGGATGCATTGTTGCGGGAAGGTGAGTGCAGCGGACCGCTGCTTTGCTGTGCTGTATGTGGGTGTGCAGTGCCAGATCAGCAAACCAAGCTTCTTCAACTCAAAGCCGCCGGCACTGCACGTGTAATACGAAACCTATCATACGTCGATTAGTTTTTGGTTTCTGTCCATGTTTCAAGCGGTTGCACCCGCCAGTATTAAGCACCGGCGCTTTTCCAACCGTCATCGATTGGCCTCGAGCACCTCTGCTGCTGCCTCGTAGGTACATGTGCCGTTGTTCTCTCTCCTTCCATGTTTCTCTTTGGTGCACGCAAAGCCTGCCGTTGTAGCGATGTTTTCGTTCGGACGCCAAAAATGTCCAAGTTGATCCGGACGTCTTCCCATCCATGTTGGTATCTCTCCAACCGAAAGGGCACATGTCTTTCAACGAGAAATCGTCGCATGAAAAAAATATGAAAGACTGTGCCATCTTTTAGAAGCTAGCGCTTGACCATCGGATTTGTACTGCCGTACGCCCACCTTGCATCAGCACTTTTCTCGAATCAGTTGTGAGCGCTGTTTTTCTCCACCCATCGTCTCTCAGCTCTTCGGATAACGGCGTTCTCTTACGGAACGCCGTCTACATACCTCTAAGCACCGACACTAATCTGGAATACATCGCACCGACGCGGTTTGTTTACCGCCCTGATGCCAGATCTACCGCCACCGTTTCGTGGAAACCGTGGGAACGATTGGGCGGAACCGATGGTTCGGCTTCCGCCACGGCTGCCGATGCCGCTGCTGGCGGCGCTTGTGCCTTGGATGTGCAGCCATGGAGGCTTTTCGAAGGAACGCCTGCGACGGTATGTTTTGGGGGTGGAGTGCCTCAATTGGCCGATTCATCTTTTGCCTCGCCATTAGACTCACTTGTGGATCAATTTCGACGCTGCTGTGTTTCGTGTTTTTGTTTTTCGTCGGTAGAACGCAAAGGTCTCTTTGTACTATATGTTCAGTAGTGGCCAAATGGCAGCGATTTTAGGGCTATGGTCCACCTGGAATTACATGTCCGGTTGGGCGCTGTGTGCAACATATTATCAGTGTGTGACACTATTTTCTAGAATAAACCTGACCACAACAGGGGTTTGCCAGTTGGCCGCCGTGATGTTGATCGCTTCCCCCACATCTGGCTTTGAAGAATACTAAAGTCGGGTGTATACTGCTGCCGTCACACGTGTAGTCCAGCCAACGTGTTGACCTTTTTTCGATGCCCTTGATTGTCGCAGGCGGCTCCACGAGGTGTTTTGCAGTCGGAGGGCCTGCCGGCAGGGGATGAGGAGAACACAGCCCCTCCGTTGGAGAAGGGAGGCTTTTTTTGTTTTTCGGGAGAGCTCAGCACGGAGAGGGCCGCCAGAGTGAGACAGCCACCTGGCGAGCATGCGATCCCAATGCCGAAATACGTACCTCTGTCTGTAGGTGGTTTATTTTTTCCAAAATGTCGGTGTGGTGGTGTAGGTGGGCTGTTGGACTGCTCTCATTCGCGGTGCCGCCGTCCTCGCTGCAGTCATCATGATAACCGCTATTGCTGCTGCTGCTACTACAGTACTTCCTACTGTCGCCGGTGATGTCACCGGGTCGGCGTTATATTATTCTGCTTTTTAACAGCATTTGCTGTTGCATTGCCTCTCAAAGTTCGCGTTTTGTTTGGTGCCCCCTGTTTCATGTGTGCGTTTTCATGCTCCCTCTCTGCCTTCCCTGCCGGCTCAGGCTAAGGTTGGAGGATTCTGCGGCACGAGGTCAACTCGGCGTCAAGAGCCGCTTGTTCTTCCGGACGGTTACCGTGGCGTGGAGATGCGAATACGGACTGACGGGCGCCAGTGAGTTTCGCGTGTCGCCTTGCTGCTGCTGCTGTTGGTATTTCGCTGTTTCTTGTTTCTGTGCGTATTCCCGACTTCTCCGACCCATCACCACAGTTGAAGGCATACTAAGTCATGGACACCGTCATTGCAACCGCCGCCCGTGGAAAAGTATGTGCGGGCACGGCCTCGTGGGACACTAAAATGTACCACAGTCCTTTGTGAAATACAGATACGTACATACACAAGAGGACGAAATCTTTGAGCTGGAGCACGTATGCATATGACAATGGGTATTTTCTCAAATATTTTACATACGATTCGGACGATGAGCACCGGATATGATTTTCTTTTCGATCAATTCGCTGCCTGATCAGATCGTATGGGCAAAGAGTCATACGCCGTCGAACACGCACACCGCTAGATCACATCCTCACGTAGTGTTTTATGAAATGACCTACACTACAGGAGTCGCAAGACGTTCCTTGTGCCGTCAAGAAAACGAATACTTACGAGCCACGCCATTCTGTTTGCTTCCGCTGCGTATTTGACATGACCTCCGGGTCACACCACATCCAGGCTTTAGTTTGTGGCCTAAATTTTGCATGTCTCTCCAAACAGTCATTACCCAGTATTGTATCAGGCCACAACACAAACGACACAAACTTAGATTGAGGTGCCATATTGTCAAGGTTTGGTTCGACGAATACGTCACAGCAAAATGAATCAAGTCTGTGACATATACGCCCTGTACACATCAAATGTGCGTGCTCACTATCAAAACCTTCTACCCCCGCACCAGATACGAGGTGAATTTCGAGCCGCAGTCGGGCATCATCAACGACCTCTACCAAGGGTACGTGCGGACCCCGGCGGGACAGTGGGCGACCGTGTCCCTCCCCCTGAACCGCCTTCTGCTCACGGGACAGGGCCAGATCCGCGACATCCAGAGGAAGTGGGACGTGGGGATGGAGCTCAAGTCGATCGGATTCACCATCGCAGACGGTGTCGGCGGACCGTTCCGCTTGGACGTGGCGTGGGTGGCGCTGGTGTCAGAGGTGAGGAGTTAATTCCTAGGGAGCAGGCTGTGCTCGGTAGAGCTGCGGCAATTTTCGGCGCACATGTACAGCTCCGCTTTTTCGGGGTCCCCCCTCATGAAGTGAGCCTTGTTTCGTTGTGCACCGTCGACGTTTGCAGGTGGATGATGAAGGGAAGGACGACGGGGACGCGCCCAGAAAAAAACCGCTTCCACCAACGGACGGGGTCATGTCGTGGTAGAGGATCCCGGCGAACTCCAATTCATTGGGGGGCAGAGGCCCGGTCGTAGATCATAATTTTTTTGAAAAAAACAAGTTCTTTGGAGCCGTAGTTGGAGGTTCAAGATCGGCCTACTGGGTTGAGAATGCGGGGACGCTGTTGGGAGATGACCAGGACCGTAAACCAAACCGCAACTGGAATCATCTGCTGCGCACACATTTGTTGAGGATACCTGTGACAATGCGGTGCACAGCCCCGAGCGATTCCAGGCCCCCCATAGCCTCGCAAAAATATCCCAGACCTGGAGACGAAGAGGCGAGCGTCGACGTCCTCTTGATGCGGCAGCATCCACCGGCCACATGCAAGGGCAAACCTAAAGCTGCTAGAAGCTATTTAGCGGGCATACGGCGGATTGACTCAACCATCGTCGACGATCGCCTCTGACAAACACGGCGTCTATCCAAGCCCTGACTGTCTCTTCGTGTCACAACGCTAGCACACCCTTGATGGACCTCACCATGTTCTTTGTTCAGTTTCGTCTGTTCTCCCAACGCCAACGCTTCTCCAACGAATTCTACGCTTCTTTACTACCCATCTCTGCTCGAGGAAAGTCTTGGCCAGGAAGACAGGCTCAACTTTCCTTGCCTACGCGCATCGCCTAGCGACAGCGCGATCAACGCTATCGCTGGGAAGACTGAGAGCCTGTTAACGCGAAGTCTGAGCTCTGAAGCGAAAACAACCGCGGGCCTTTCTTCAGGAGGTAGCACTCCTGAACAAAACGGACAGTCCACGATTTCATCGAGCGGGAGACGGGCGGTCGGGGTGCATGTGTCGGTAACTGACGGTTGAGGTGAGGTGACGCCGGGACCAAACCGGGTCATGTCAAGCAACCCTCCTGTAGGTGGCGCGCGGTGTCAATATTTGGCTACGGCTACAGGGCGGTCGGGGTGCATCTGTCGGTAACTGAGGGTTGAGGTGAGGCAACCCTCCCGTAGGTTGCGCGCGGTGTCAATATTTAGCTACGGCTACAGCAGTGAACTCAATTACTCTCAAATACGGCCATGGAAAGCGATGAATTGTGGTCGAGGGCGCGAAGAATCGCACAGAGGACCTTTGCCCTTCCTTCGGTTTGGATGCGGAAAATGGGTAAGCGGCACAACAGAGTTCACATTCCCAACAACACCACCACGACCAACGACAGTGGCGACAAAACCTTATGCTCCAGCAACTACCTGCCCCCGCTGGGCCAACGAGGCTCGCACGTACTGACAGCCGGGAAGATGGTACTTGGACGGCTTGTTCCCTCCACTCACCTGTCGAAGGACGTCAAGAAAGCCTTCGAAATCCACAATGGCAAGGCACAGGTCGTTGGCGATCTGCATCAGCTCCTGCCGCGGGAATACCGCCGACCCTTTCTGCTTTGCCCGCTTGGTCACTGCCGCCACGAAAGTACGGACCTGGACAAAGTGGGGATGGGTGTGAAAGGAGTAAAATACGGCAGTTATGTGGAAGCGCGTGAAAATCACACCAGCCACACCGTGTAGTCCACATCTCTACCGCGTGTCAATAGCTGGCGAACGATGCAAGAGCACTGATGCTACCAGATGCTGCTTAGCCGCTGTTATGATTTCTCTGGTTAGGTTATGACGTCACCAAAAACGCAACGAACCACCCGTGGTCAAGGACGGCCAGAGCCGAGTTTGGCGTAGGAAGGGATATAATACGAATCAAAACCGCGCTTGCTTTCTCGCCGTTCTCGATTTGCGCTAAGTAGGTGCCTGTAAGGGGGTGTCAGTGAACGTCAGAAGGAACGACAGTACGTGGTTGTTCGTTGTTGCCAAAAAAAGGAGGCAGAATAGCGCAGACAGACTACCCATGACGCATTTGAAGTTGATGGTTGCTCTTTGGCTCTCTGCATGTATTTTGCGAAGAACAGGGTCTTGGGGTCGGACGCGAACATGAATGCTGCTCTTCTCGTGAACGACAGATCAATGGGGTGATGCTGGGTACTGGAGGCCCCAGTCCCTCGTTTCCCGACGGTCGAAGTATTGTGAAACCCTCGAGGCATACATTGTATATGCTCGCAGGCTTCAGGTTTCAAGTTGACTCCGCCCCTCCCGTTCACTCGAGGACAAACCTCTCGCACGGTCCATTCACGGCCATACCTGACCTGAGCGCAGAAGCATTCTATTAGGATCAATAGTGTCTAGAAGACGCCGCTATCGAGCACCCGCAAGGGAATCCCGGTGCCATTGATCTGAGTCCAACTCCGTGCACCCTGACCCAAATTGCTGAAACACATAGAAGCAACTGTGTATACCTGACAAGAGACAGTCTCGAACGAACGCCTCCTGTCTGGTTTGCTCGGGGTACTTTGAATGTTCCAAGTAGAGCACGTTACGGGGGCTGCTTCTCCTTGCTGAACGTACCTTCACCCAGCCTCCAAAACAAGGGTTCATTAAGTCTTCTCACTCCGGCCTGTACGAGCGGGTGTCTTTTCACTTCATTCGTTGCCACACATACGTCGCGCAACATTACCACCACTGCGTTGTTGCGCTGTAGAGCACTACCTGTTTGGCCAGGCCGGTAGCACCCGAGCGTCCGAAGTCGATCGCCCCCGTGTCCGTCACGCACGCCTCCAGCAGCGACTGCAGTACCCGACCAACAGCACCCGCAACAGATCCCGAACGCATGCAGCAGTGTAGGGAGAGCAGCAGATAATGCTTAGCCGTAGAACTTGATTCAACTTCCCCGAAACCCCTCCAAAGACACAAACACACATGGGAAGCGGGAATGATCCCCCTGATTACACCTTGTGAAAGCGGCAAATCACACTGTGTATCATGCACGGAGAGCACAAGGCTAGGACAAGAATGGCACCAGAGGCACCAAGCTACGGCTCAGGCACGCGCATGCAGCAGCGACAACAAATGAACAAAGTAAGGAAGGTGGAGCAAACCCTTGTACCGAATGAAACGGAGGGAACATCACGAAATCAACACTTTCGGGTGGTACATACACAGCAACACGCGTGTTATGAACGTCGTACAAAGAGCGCGGACTGACCTCCTGCATCATGTCCACCACGTCCTTGGCATCTTGCTCCGTCACGTGTTCCCTCAGCTCTACCTTCGCCCTCGCCTGTCCTCCACCCAGGCGGCAGAACAAGACGGCATCACGCACACGGCAACAACGAATTTCACGGCAATTCCACTCTGCGAATTCGGCAGTTCATGATGGCACGAGGCAACAACAGGCGAGGCGCCCAAAATGCAACGGACGCCTTCATGTAGGAAGACTTTAAGCAGCGAACGGTGGGATTTCACTCGCGTGCAATACACTTAACCCGGAGGGCTGCCACTGCCGAAAAGGGTGGCGTTTAGCGAAGACCTCGTCAAACTCTTTCCTTGCACGTGTGGAGTACGGGTGAGGCCATTACGCCAGAGATTCCGACGTAGCTTGGCGGCTTCGCGATACTCGATGTTCAGGGTCATGGGCCCGGGCAAGAAGTTCAAGCAGGGCGTCGGACGAACAGTAGGTGGGCCGTAACTGCACGAAAAGACACGAGCAGGAACCACCAGCCGCACCAAAATAACCCATCTACATGAAGGCGGGCGGGTTCTTGTTCAACTGACCTATTTTACCTCTGACGTTGCCAAGCAAAGCGTAACCACGAATACCCGGCAAAGTTGATCCGCAGCAGATCACGGGTCTATCGCTTCATTTCTTACGACCCAACAAACAAAGCTATGAAAACAACACTGCTGAGCGTGAGCTTCGGACTCCAAAAATCACAGGAAGGCAAAATCACAACAGGTGCAAACGTAGGTGACGCAAGATACCACACCCCTCGGAGCGATTTGCAAAGATCGAACTCTTCTCTCCACGACGAAGGAGCGTGTATCAAACGATTCGTTTTCGGAAAGCTCTCCAAGAGAACGTTCCAACGTCGCCATTTTCGGCACAGCTTCTCTTTCTCCTGTGGAGTAATCGACCTTCAAAAATCGGCCTAATGGGTGTGGTATCTTGCGTCATGCCACCTACGGTACCCGGGGAGCCATAGCCCACTGCGAGACCATAGACTAGGAAACGCACACCTGAGAAAGGCGGACGAGACTCTCCAGCTGACGCATGGTGATAGGCATGGATCGGCCATCTCTCGCCTCGTTCCTCATCGTCAGGTACAGCTTCTGAAGCACCCTCGCGGCCTTGAGGGTGAGGGAGGGGTGGCAATGTTCCCTCGCGTAAGCCACGTACCGCTTCAGGAGCTGAACGCGACAACAAAGAGGGCGGGGGCGGTGGGTGGGTGGGTGGTGCGCAAGTTGTTGCTTGCTGTGTACTCCACTTGTTGCGAGGAGGCAATGACCTGCGTTTCAAGGAGTGGGTGCCATCTACAGATGCGATGCTACATAGAAAAAATGGGCCACGAGGTCTATCGTCTTTGTACTTCCGGTGTTAGCTCTGAACAAAGCACGCAGTTACCAATATCCGCAAGACCAACAGAGCGACAGCTGGTGGTAATGACAAAACGAAAACCACAACCAAAGCCCTATTCGAATAAACATGAAAACACACGATCTACACCACCACAACCGTTAACAGCACTAACTCGCACCTGTGTCGGGATCGGGTCATCTTTGTACACCGCTGCTGACCTCCGGAGTCGCTGTGACAGCGTTCTTCCCTCATCATCCCCAACGTTTCCGCCACCTCCACCATCACTAGCGCCATCGCCAAAGCTTGGCCGACCCCAAGGTGTTCGGGGTCGGCCCGTGGCCGCACCAGCACCCCGCTGGCCGAAACGTGGATCGTTCTTTGCCCGGTGATTGTAACTGCCGGGAACGCGCGAAACGGTACACGAACAAATCCGGCACAAAGTTGGCTTAGGACGTCATCGAGCGTATTGAAGAACCGGTCGTGAAGAAGGGGGCTACCGCATCGCGCCCTCCACAATGCGGTCCGACTTCTCCTGACAGCGGTATCACGGCGAGGGCGCCAACGCCAGGAGGTAAATGGTTCGAAAAGCGTCCGAGATGCCTTTTGCTCAAACGACAACGCAGTCTTCCTGCATGCCGAAGGCAGCAGGGGTGAAAATCCTAACCGTGTCTCAGTGGTGTGTAGCATGCGATACAGGAGCCGACCCTTGAAGAGGAGCCGATCTTGAGAGGGAATGTTCGAGATTTACGCGTGATCAATTCGGAGAGTGGGAGACGTTAACAGGGGGCGCCGTCTTGGAGAATAGCCACCCCCCCGACCTCCTGTGCTCGCCATCTGCTCACCTCTTTCGGCAAATTTCCGATCGTGTTCGTTCTCCGTTTCGAAGGAATGAAAAAGGTCGACAGGTGATTACACCACGACGGAGTCGTAACGCCAAAGAGCGCACGCAAATCTCGCAAAACAACGTGTACCACGGTACGAGCATGAAACGTCGGGGTGAGAGCGGGTGTGGTAGCCCCACCCATAGCAGTTTCTGTCGTCCTGCAAACGCAAACCACGATATCTTCGTCCAATCTCCCTCCCTCGCGTCTACCCAGGCGGACACAACTCTCACCCGGAAGCGTTCTGCGAAGAAGGCGGAGCGCCGGGATCGGGGGCAGGCTGTGCGGCGAGAGCGTGTGTCCGCATGATGTGCTCGGAGAGCCTCTTGTCGTGCTCCTCGTCAGGACGGTCCAGGAGGATGAACACGAGGTCGAACCGAGATAGAAGCGCCGCGCTCATCTGTACGTGTCGTGTTGTAGTCGTGTTGCAGTGGTCGGGTGTTGGGGTGAAGTGTGAACGAGGTCATGCGTGCGTGGGGCACTGTCTACGGCAGCGCGTGATCGAGGGCACCCTCACGCTCGCATTTCTCGCGCAAGCAACAGAGCGATAGGCAACATGCACGACTAACAGGTGGAACCGAGAGGGATGGCAAGACGCGATCCAGGGGCTGGTTGGTGGTGGTTTCGGTCGAGCTTTGACGTTGAACGGACATGACGGCGCTTCATTCGGCGCTACACACACACAATCACGCACACACGCACACACACGCACACACACTTTGAGCACCGTACCTTGAGATTTTCGGCGATGGTCTTGCCGCGGTTGTAGTGCCCGCCGATTGGGTTGGCAGCTGCTAGCACCGAGCACCTGGCCGACAAAGACGCCACCACGCCTTCGCTCGCGTTTGGTATCATTCCAGTTTTGTTCGGCCACGACGACCGTGTTGCGGGAAACAGGGGAGAGGGAGGAGATGCAGGGGGGCAGAGGAGCAAAAAAAAAACATACCACGGCAAAAAGCTCAGGTTATAGGACAGCAACATGTACCGGGCGACACGGAAGGATGAGAGGAACTAGCACTCTGTTTGGAAATATGGGGACCTTTGGGGTCTTCACCTTTCTATCCGAATGGTCACTATATTGTCAAACAAAGCGGGCACTGCATGCCATTGATTGCTTCGTCGCGCGAAGGACTGACCTGCTACACTCACACAAGACTGACCCAACTGTGCTACCGAAGTCCGTTCACTAGGCCTGCCACACACAACACTCACACGCTTTCGCTACGGAAATCCGTTCAATGGGCCTGCCAGACACAATACTCACCCGCTATTGCTACGGAATTCCGTTGACTGGACCACCACACACAACACTCACCCCCGTTTGGAACGGAAATCCATTGACTGGACCTGCCGCACACAAAACTCACCCGCTATTGCTACGGAAGTCCGTTGACTGGACCTGCCACACGTAACACTCACACGCTTTTGCTGTGGAAAACTGTTGACTGGACCTGCCATCACCCGCGTGTGTGTCTGAAATCCGTCAAATATTGGCCATGCCACACACGAAACTCACCCGCTTTCGCAATGGATATCCTTTGCTGCTCCATCGCCTCGAGAAGGGCGTGCGGGTCGCAGCCCATCTTGTCGAACTCGTCGATGCAGCACGTGCCCTGCGCGTTCGTAGGGAGAGGTGCGGGTGATTGCAAAAACAACTTCGAGCTGTGGCACACAAGGCGACCTCGTGTGGTCGATAAACACTGCTGCTGTTCATATTAAATCTGGTGACACCAGAATCTGCTTCGCGCGGCTATCATGTGTGTTATATTTCTCAGCTTCGACCGCGCGCACCGGCTGACCAACAAAAGAACCCCAGTCTCAGCGTGTGGAAGCAAGAATTAGCACATCCTGTGCTCCTCGTACCATTCACACCACCGGTTGGCCACGGAGGTCGGGTCTGGTGCGCGGAAAACCAGCCGGAGGTATGGCAGAGACGCTTGGTTGTCGTGGAGACAGCGACACAAATGAATAAGGATGAGCCGAGGCAACAACAACAACAACAACAGGCGCCCGTGTACCTGGTCTGAAAGCACGAGCGCCCCCGCCTCAAGGCCGACCTCCCCGGAGGTACCTTCTTTGCTCAACGTCACCTGGTGCGTGGGTGTTCCACGAGCGAACCGTTGCGCGGACACGCGGCAGGGGGTATCATCGTTTCAACACGAAGCAGCGGGAGCAGAAATTGAGTGGGAAGGGCGGCGACAAGGGCGGGGCGCGGGACATACCATAACGTTTTCTGCACAAGACATCACCCCCCCACACACACACACAAGTAAGCAGCGATACATGGTGCGTCGTATGCGTTCCCACCGTGAGACCCGTGGTGGAGGTGGTGTTGCCGCAGACGTACACGGATCGCGGGGACGCCTGGCTAGCCGCGTGGAGCATCTACCGGGCGAGGCCGAGGGATCACACACACAAACAGAACGCGGTAAGGACAGCAGCGCCGTGAGGTTCCTCTTTCGTTCGTCAAGCCGGCAGAGAGTTGAAAATACGTCGACACAACCAAGCCGTCCTGAGGGACTATTCAAGTCTGTTGGAAGACCTACTGAGTAAAATATCGTACCCTTTTAACATAAATGTTAACTATCCTCTTGTACCTGGTTGGTTTTTGGTACATTTTATACGGGTTGTGTTCAAGGGGAAAAAATGGTAAGATAACCTAATCACAACAAAAACAAATCAAGTCTTTAGGTAGAGGTAAACCGATAATCCAACCCAAGGGCATACAAGATCAGAGCGACCGAGAATGGCGACAAAACCATCAAACCAATCATACCTGACTCTTGCCCAGGCCAGGGTCCCCGACGACGAGAACGTGCGGATCGCACCGTGTGGCTACTTCGCTGTTCCTGCTCGTGCCCCCGAACAGCCCGAGTATCAGCCCAGCCTTCACGAAGGGAGAGAATCCCCGACACCCGACAAAAGGAGGAAGTCAAGGTGGAGGAAATCAAAAGAGTAGTTGGTGCCGCAAAGCGCTGCACACCGCCACTACTACTACTTCTACCACCGACTGTAGCGTGTTTCGTGAAATTTTTCACGCAGAGAGGGCAGCCGAGTAGTGTGACGCTTTGTGCTGCTGAAACGTGGGCCTGGCTCCTTCAACGCCCTACAGGCACTGCAGCTGGTCGACGCCTAAAGCTTCTGTTCCGCGGAATGATTTGATGTATGAAATGGAGTGACCATATCTTTGGCGGAATAAGCCAAAACTTGTCAAGTGAACTGACGGCCCCGCTCATAACCTTGGAATGAAAGGAACGTTTGGCGGAATGAATCGGACCCGTCAAGCGACGACCCACTTACAACCTTGGAATGAAGGGAACGTTTGGCGGAATGAATTGTTTCGGTGCATTGAAATGAAAGAGTCCCATTTCGCTAGAAAAAATGTATTGACTGAAGCTATCTAGCAGAATGGCTGTGTGACTATAATATCTGCTATCTGTGCTTCGCAAGCCAGTGATTTCGATGGTATCAAGCCCACGATGCAATACCGTAGCAGGACATGGCAGCAGGGCGATCGACAACACCACAATACCATCATACCTGTCATAACAATATCCCTCTTGGTGTGGAATCTAACCACCACCGCAATGACGATAGGAGTCTCCAACAGTCTTTACATTCACGGTTTCCACCTTACAGTCACGAAAACAACTTTTCGCCGCTCACGAACGAAACCAGATTCGCACTAAAGCAAGATGTTTTCAGGTATAAAAGAACGATTCGTGGCCACCCGTGTGAAGCCCCACCTTCACGATCTCGTGGCCGAAAATGGACGGGCAGAGCGAGGACACCACGAGACCAAATGGGTCGTCGTCGTGCGCTATCTGGATCACGCCGCCGCAATCGAGGACCATTTCACCATCGCACCAACAACGAAGCGGCGTAACCGTTGGCCGGTCAAACACGGGGATGGGGGAAGCCAAGAGTGGGAGGGAGGGAGGGAAGGTGGTGTTGCCAGAAAGCATGCGGAAGGTGATCGGATGGCTCGGCAGGCGCACGACGGTAGTCCTTTAAACGAATACATTCTACCAGTACAGGGTAACTAGTCGACGATCACGGCAGGAGACCCGGTCAGTCGGACCAGTACGGATGTTAGAAGGTGCTCAGCAGAGACAGCAACGGTTTCATAATTGCCAAGACAACCACAGCAAAATCATCAACTACAACAACAACAACAACAACAACAACGAACCTGGAGGATGCCCTGTAGCTCTTCCGGGGTAAAATGAGCCGTGCTCTTGCTCCTGGCGCCGCCGCTGCTATCTTTGCTGCGCTCCGTGTTGCTCGATTTGCCTTCTTCTCCGCCCGCCTGCCCATCATCCTGACAAGAGCAGAGAGCGGGGAGAAAAACGGAGACGGATGGGCATCAAGTCCTACCTACAACTTGGTGGCAGCAAGACTCCACCTGCTGATGCCTGACTAGTTGAAATGCTGATGCTTGACTAGTTAAATGCTACGTGCTGATGCCTGTTTAGTTCTCTTTCGCGCAGTGTCGAATGGGCGATGTAAGAGAGAGAAGCGGCTTGCGTCACGGCTGATATCGCGAAATCGATGCTTGTCGGTCGAACCCGTTTTCCAGATGCATGAACAAGAGGTTTGACAATGCTTCTCACTCAAACCAATAGTTACGTATCTCCCCGTGCTCTTAGCTTCAGGCGCTGGGGGCTGGAGGGGCGGCACTAGCGGGGGAGGGTTGAAATGCAGCTGTGCAAGGAATTATTACGGACAGTCACCGCACTATTTTGTCCAGTAAAACAACCGAGGAGCCCCAAAATGTCACATCTGCTCTATCCACAGCACTATGCTGCCCGGTTCACCAAAAAAACCTTGTCGAAAATGTCACGCATCAGACGGCGGGACACACCACCACGACCTCCACCAACGGCAGACGCAATCAAACGATACCATTGTGTCCAGCATGGCTGAGTCGTGCATACCTGTCGGGCATTCACGAGCGAGTTGGCCTCGAGATAGATGAGATACAGCCCACTGGCCTTGGCGCGCTTGTTCACCCTCCCCGAAGCAAACTCCGCGTTGACGGACTTGACCACCCCTGACACCGTAACTACGTCGCCTGGCGGCACCGCAAGTATCATGTGGGCAAGAAGGGAATCGGAGGGGGCCGAGACACATGAGAGGGGGCGGGAGGGCCGGGAATGGTTCGTGTCAGTACCGCATGATCGCGCGTCCTTCCCCGAGTTCGCCCTCAACTCGCCCGCTCTCCTGAGCCAGTCACTTTCACTCACGAGCAGCCATTGCCCATCGGTATCGTGGACACTGCTGTACCGCAACCCAAGCCTGTTATGGGAGGTCCTGTCAGCAGCGCCGGTTCCTATGATGGCCTAATTACTTGACCAATTTTCCACAACACCCACAATCGATAGTGTTTTCCTGTGTTTTGGTGAAATAATCGCCCATTACATCAAGTGCCACTCCGCCTTGAACGACCAAGAACGGGATGCTCTCTAAAAAACTGTGTCAAGCACATGTTTCAGCGTTCCTCCGTGTGCGCGTGAAGTTGAACAAGACTGGTTATGTGTGGCAAGGGGGAAGATATATAAAACAAACTCCAAAATGAAAAGCCAAAAGGTCAACAGTATGGGGCCTAGGGTTCAACATGAATGGTCATAGATACGACATACCGTATAGTTGAGTATCGACCCTAGGATCCAACGTGAGTGGTCATGGGTAGGGTATAGTAAGCGCCCCCAAACATCATGTGACGGAACCCCTCGACAAGGGATTTGTGGGGTTCCCACTCAGCCATGCGCAATAGGGGCAAGAAAACGCACATCGAAACAGACAGATTCATTGGTTTCCCACTCAATCGTGCGCAAAAGGGCCGAGAAAACCAAGCTCAACCAGAAGGGTATACTGTATCACAAGAGTATCAGCTCAACCGCAGCACCATGCAGCTGGACTGAGATCAATCGCATGCTGTTAGGGAATGTATGACTCAAAAATATTTCACGGAGGCGCCGAATAAAATCTCCGACCCAAAGGCTGGCACAAGCACCACTCCACGTGAAATGGTCGTTGCGCAGCATGTCAACATCAAGTCTCTGTCGCTTTTTCGCACAACTATCGTTCCAAGTGAATGGACGTTGCGCAGCATGTCAACATCAAATCTTTGTTCCTAGAACAACTACCGTGCTAGTTGAACGGACGTTGCGCAACATGTCAACATCACCATCGTTCGACGTGAATGGACGTTGCGCAACGTTTCAACATCAAACGTCTGTCGCAAATTAGCACAACTATCGTTCCAGGTGAATGGACATCACGCAGCATGTCAACATCACAGCTTTGTCGCTATTTAGCACAACTACCGTTCCACCTGAGGGGACGTTGCGTAACATGTCACCATCAAAGCGTTGTCGGCACAACTATAACAGCGTTCCAAGTGAATGGACGTTTGCCCAACAGCACGGTTCTGTTGATATTTATTCCACCACCACCGTTGTAGGTGAACAGAGGTTGCGAAATATATCAAATCAAAGCTTTTTGGCTCGCACAAACACCCTTCCCTCGTGAATGACGTTGAGCAAACATGCGAAAAAATGGCAAACCTGGTATGCACGTGTCGACGAGGTCTTCGTGGAGCTCCACCTCCACCGTGCGGGGGATCCTCCCCGCCTCCGAGGTGTCGTCCTCGATCTCCTGCAGCTTGATCTTCTGGAAGTCCACCGTCGTCGCCGTGTTCCGCAAGAGTTCGAAGCTCTTTGGGCAGAGGGGAACAGAAGAATTCGCGCAAGAAATATCAACACAAAGACAGTCGTAACGAGGGGAAGGGTTCGTAACAGCAAGATCAACATAAAAAGACAGTCGTGGGGAAGGGAACGGTTCGTACCCATCAAGATCAACACAAAAACGGTCGGGGGGAAGGGAACGGTTCGTACCAGCAAGATCAACACAAAAGACAGTCGCAGGGAAGAGAAGAGTTCGTACAAGAAAGATCATCACAAAGACAATAGCGCGAGGTGGATGGCATTGTGAGTGGGTGGCCACTCCAGGGCGCGTGAAATCTCCTGGCACAGAGAACCATGTTCAACTTTTGTTTATTCTTCCATAGGGCGGGTGCCGGTTATCAGGAGAGTGAATCGGTTCGGCACGTACCAGCCCTGCAGAGGAGCCACGAAAATCAAAACGAGAGCAATGTGAACCTCGGGCGAGGGCGACCGGGGGCGTCATCGGACGAGAGGCGAAACAATGACAGCAACATTAAACACCGAACACGCCGCGGGCCTGTATCGCATCGCCACGTGGGAAGAACCGATGTAGGTGTGGAAGGGCAAGGTGCCAAGAACTCCTGTCGCACCTCTTGCGGTGCGTCAGAATATTGTGGAAAGTCACAAGGTAGCCTGGGAAAGCGCCGCCAAAGTGTTTTTTCGAGAAACAGAGGCTCGAAATTTCACAGAAAACTAGAAGATAAGAGACAAAGCTCGGCAGAAGATCCGGCAGAACATGTACCACATACTCCGGAGAATGCCGTAGGTGACACGAGATATCACACCCTGGAACAATTCTCAAACCTCGATTACTCCACCACGAAGAGGATAAATAAACCGTTTCGGAAAGCTCCCGACGAGATGGCTTCAACGCCGCCGTCATCGGCGTTCCCACTCTTCTGCTGTGCAGAAATCGAGCTTGGAAAATCGGTCTTGGGGGTGGTGGTATCTTATGTCACCGACGGTATTCTCGACGGTCGCGGCGAAATAAAAACAAGTTGAGCCTCGACCACAACCTAAATTTGACGCTTCATGATTGCGGACCGGTTCCACACCCTGCTTGGATCTCACCCTGGCTTTGCAGTTGGTGCCTGCGCAGGAGGTGGGAGGGTTGAACTTGCCGTCAACAAACTGTCTGGTCTGCTCGCAGCCGCACTTCGGGCACGCGAAGCTGGCCTTGAGGACCATGGCCGAGATGCCGGACACTCGCACCACGTTGCCCACCACGGTAACGAACTTCCCTGTCAACGTGTCGTCCGCGAAATGGATGGTCCACACTCACATGATTAGATGGAACACGCGGCGAGCACCCGCCCAGCGAGCTCTGCCTTTTGGTACACAGTTTCGGGCACGATAGCTTTCCCTCGCTCTATATAGAAGTATACGAATTGCTGGTCGTAATCATCTCTTGTTGTTGTGCGCAACGCTGAACATCCAATCTGACCTCCACATCCGGACTAAGTCTCCATACAGCAGTGGCCCCAGAATAAGGCTGCATAGGGCCAAGGGATGTCGCCAGCCATGATATACGGGGCACCCGGCCCTGTACAGAGTATGGAAAACAACTTCCGCCATCTCTGTCACGCGGTTTCACAGGCCTTCTGTAACACGGTCATATAGAGGGGCCACTGCAGTAGTTCTTCAAGCTGATCCAACAGGTAACCCGAAGGGTAGCATTACGATTCAGCGTACGACGTACGTACTGGGCGCCGACTCATCAAGCTTGGCCCGAACCTGGTCGGCGCTACCCCACGTCCGTACACGAGAACCATTCACCTACGGCATTGGACTTGAGCTCCGAAATTCCCCACACCGGGAGGGCTCCATCAAAGCGTGCCGTTACCTGATAAAAAATAAAACATGGGAAAACAGAAGTTCAGAAACCTCCATACGATATGCACTAGGACTACGGCGATCAATCCGGCATGAATAGTCGGTCAGGCTCGGGAGCAGCAAATAAAAGGAACCGTTGCTGTGAGCGAAGGGGCGGCGCGACCAAAGTGAAAATAAGCCGTTGATTGTGTCTGTCAGCGTCATGGCCAAACGTATCAAGAAGGGTCTCGTTTTTCGACGAATGGTTCGTTCACCTTGCCCCGCCGCCGCACGGCTGCCACCGACCCCTCGGGGCAGAGGTGGTGTCTCGCCAGGCAGAGGCCAAGCCCCACGCACGCTATCACCTTCGTCGGTCTCTCCTGATATCCGGGGGGGGGGGGGCGTACTCTTATGTTTTGCATGTCTTAACGGTTAAATCATCGGGGGGGGGAGGGGGGGGTTAGGAAAAGTTGTATTCTGATGCTTGTGCCCTGCGGGTCAATTTGCCATTGAGCATGCGCAGCATTCGAGACACAGCACCGCCCCTAAGCAGTCTAGTGCTGCTAAGAATGGAGACATTTTGCTAGCCCTCCAACACTCTTCCTCCGGGAAGGCGGGGGAAAACACCGCGTGGACACACACACGTGCTGGCAGGGGCGCTACGACCACTGGCGGCGTGGTAGAGCCAAATCCTGCAAAGGCAGACCCGCCGACAAAGCGGCTGAATGAAGCACCCGGATTGGCACGGAAAATCCAGCAGAGCAGTGCGAAGCCACCTCTTCCCACCTGAAGTTCCTTCGCGAAATCAGGCATCGGTACCGCCTCCAGGAAAAGGTGGTAGTCAAGCCGAACGGAGGAGCACGTCTCGAGATCACACCCTTCAAGAAGGCTGGAGCCGCCCGGGTGCCATGGGTGTTCGCCTATCTCCACGGGGTGATAGGACAGGAAAAGGGCGAGAGGCAAATACGAGATTGGGTTGGCGGGAAAGGGGTCACAAACGGGGGCGGGGGTACGACAGGCGTAAGAGTACCGCACACGAGGTCAGAGCCAATGCGGTAACTCCTCAACGGAACACAAAGATGAACGGTCGCGCTATTTGCTTCCGCCCAGGGCATCCGGCAGCATCAGTCAGTGTTTCCGTACGAAAACGCACAAAAACACGAGCCAAATCGACAACGTCCAGAAGCACGGGCCGCTGGGAGGACAAACGCGAAGAAAATGGTTTTCGCTCGCGTGGGGAACAGCACGCTGGAGTTCAGAAAACAGAAACAGGAGCGCTACAGCCACAAGCATCACACACACCGACTTTGCGGCTTGTTGCACTTTTTTCTTTTTTTTTCAACGCACCATGGTGTACTGAGCTGTACGGTGTCGGATAGCAAACTGGGTAGGCAACGACAACGGTAGGGTTAGCTTCCCACCTCCATCGTCGCCAGCCCCCGCCAGGAAGAAGTCTCGAAAAGCCCCCGCGGCGAACAGCCGAGAATCATTCTCGGGCGCTCCGTCCGCTCCCTTTCAGGCGCACCCATGGCACGAAAACACCGCCAAGTTCAAGGGCAACGAGTGTGGAGAACATATAGGTTCCACTCAGACCTACGATTGGTCAGGTTGTGTCATCTATGGTTGTACTTGAAAAACACGAAAGTCACCCACGCGTGATTGCAGCATCGTCGCACGAACTACTCGACCTCAAAATAGTTTTTTCCGGAGAAGCACTTCGTCACCGCGGGAAATTTGTCCAGCATGCCATACCTCATCGGGAAAGTACTCCGGCCAATAGCTGCTGATGACCCGGAACTCGTCTCTGTCCAGAAGGGGGCCCCTTCCCCGCCCTCCCGCTCCCCCACCCCCACCACGCCCCCCACCACGCCCCCCACTGCTATCCGCCCCTCGCATTGCCCTTTGCCGTCTTCCCCAAAGGACCCACACGGCACCAACCGCAGCCTATCTAGCGCACATGAGACCGCCTTGCGCCGGACCGCGGGAATCGAGCGAGCTGTATTTGCGGGCAAGTTTTCAGTGCAAGAATGTCGGACAGGGTACAGCGGGTTCTGTTTTGTGTGGCTGAAGAGTAGGAGATTTTCCCATACTACTCGCCTACACCTATGGCAATGCTAGGTTGGCTGTTCGTTAGGGAAAAACGGGGGGCCCATTCCAGCGGGATGTGGCACAACTTAAAAGACGGATTCCCCATGGCCGCAGTTTTTTCTGCAGGCGGCCTTTTTCCGGCTGCGGTGTGTTCTTCCGGCTAAGGCGATTACGCCGCACATGCTACTCGAAAAAATGCACAGGATATTTCGTTTGAAGACAGGACTTTTTTCTTCCACTCTCTAATTTTCCTGTGAGGTACGGCAGCAGAGGCGCGAACGGACACACAGCACACCACACAGGCGTCGAATCTGTACCGGGCCAAAAGGCCAATAAGAAGCTGAGTTCGTTGACATCCGCGTCGGAGGAGGGTTGTTCTGGAATGTGGTGGAGTGAGCTACGCTTTTCCCGCTAGGCGCGCAAGAAGTGTTGCGACCTGATACGAGTTGAACGCTGGCCTCAACGGGAGATCGGCTTGGAGTTGGCAGGGAGGCGCGTACACGAAGCAGGGAATACGTGGAGCAGCCGCGGAGTGCGAGGTCGGAATCGGGCCTCCCGCAGCTGCGTTAGGGGGGTAGCGTGCTGGGCGTCCGCCCGCTTCATCTCGCGGAGTGAGCGGGTTCTTTGGCAAGGGTCCGCCGGACGCCGTCGTCTTGGAGTGTTTGTCCTCGTCATGGGCTCTTCGGGTACTCCGACGCCCCCTCCTAGGCGTCAATCTGAGAGGCGCAACACTCCAAGGAACTGCGACCCAGAGGAGGGGCACGCCCGGTCCAACGGTGGGTCTAATTTGGGAGGGGAGATCGCACTCACACAGCAGGGCGGGACCGCCATGGCGCCCTTTTTAGTGGCAGACCCCAGTCGGTCAGACGGCGAAGCAGCTCGCGGCAACGGTGGTAGTACTCGCAAGCCAGAGAGGGAAGCGGCAGCCATCAAAGCGTGGGCAGGACGAATGGGGGGAAAGTGAAGAAGAAGTCCCCTGCCGAAGGATAGCAGCGATTGATCCTCGCATAGATACGCTCATCTAAGCCCAATGAGCGTGTCTAGGCGAGGGTCAATCGCTGCGATGGTTCGGCAG